ATTTATACATGAAAAGTACGGTAGTAACATTTATCTATATACGGCAGGGGTGAAATGTGAAATCTGTTACTACTGTTTCTGTGGGCGTGGCTTGGTGGGGGGTGGGTAATGTGACGGTGGGTGTGGCCAACTTTTTTTTAAAAAAAACTTTTCAAAGCATTTTTTCTAATGCTTTGAAAAGCCTCTCTGCCGATCAGGAACTTAGCTGGGATCGTCAGAGACTTTTCAAAGCATTTTTTTTACCACCTCTTCCGGCCAAGAGGTTGCAGAAAAAAATGCTTTGAAAGGCCTCTGATGATCCCAGCTGAGCCGCGCGATCATCAGAGGCTTTTTTTTAACTTTTAAAAGCATTTTTTCATCAGAAGAGGTTGTAGAAAAAATGCTTTTAAAAGTAAAAAAAAAAAAGCTTCTGATCATTGTGCGGCTCAGCTAGGCATGGTGCGGCTCAGCAGGGCAGGGATTTTTGCTACCGGTTCTCCGAATCACCCGCCACCATCGCTATCGGATCAGGCGATCCGGTCCGAACAGGGGGCATTTCATCCCGATATACAGGTATAGTTCAATTTGCAATCACAATTGGGACCAAAATTTCAATCATTAAGCTAATCACGATGGTCATTAGATGACTCTTATGATTATTAAGTGAATTCAGCTTCTCCAATTAATTTTGCTTGTCATAAGTCAGCTGGAAAAGTCGCAAATTACAATCACATAACCTCAAGACACTACAACCATTGTAAATCCAAGTCAGTTGTCAAAAGTAGTGCTTAACGGGTCTAAGTCTACATGGAGAGAAGTAAGCAGTGGTGTACCACAAGGTTCCGTCTTAGGCCCAGTATTCTTCAATATCTTCATAAACGACTTAGATGAGGGAATAAGAAAGGGAACTTACCAAATTTTCAGATGATACTAAGCTGGCAGGAATAGCTAACACTCTAGAGGATAGACTCAAGATCCAGATGGATCTTGACAGACTTGAACACTGGGCTCTATCTAACAAAATGAAATTCAGTGTAGAGAAAAGTAAAGTCTTACACTTAGGTAAGAAAAACCAAAAGCACACATATAAACTGGGGGAAACCAGGCTTAATAGCAGTGACTGTGAGAGGGATCTTGGAGTCTTGGTGGACAATCAGCTAAATATGAGCCAGCAATGAGGACCCAGTTGTGGGGGCAATAAGCTGACTTTGTATAAATATACAAAAGGATGAAGGCTATTGCTGAGCACATTGTAAGCTGCCCTGAGTCTCTGGAGAAGGGCGGCATATAAATCAAATTTAAAAAAAAAAAATGTGCAGCGGCAGCTAAAAAAGCCAATGCAATCCTAAATTACATTAACAGAGGGATACAATCAAGATCAAGTGGGGTACTAATACCACTCTATAAAGCCCTAGTAAGACCACACCTAGAGTACTGCATCCAGTTTTGGCCACCACACTATAAAAAAGAGACTCTAGAAAAAGTGCAGAGAAGAGCAACCAGGATGATTAGGGGACTGGAGACTAAAACATATGAAGAACGGTTACATGAACTGGGCATGGCTAGTCTAGTGAAGAGAAGGGCCAGGGGAGACATAATAGCAGTGTTCCAATATTTGAGGGGTTGCCACAGAGAGGAAGGGGTCAAGCTGTTTTCCAAAGCACCTGAAGGCCAGACAAGGAATAATAGATGGAAACTGACCAAGGAGAAATTCAATCTAGAAATAAGGAGAAATTTTCTGACAGTGAGAATAATCAACCAATGGAACAGTTGCCTTCGGAAGTTGTGGGAGCTTCGTCACTGGAGGCTTTCAAGAAGAGATTGGACTGCAATTTGTCAGAAATGGTATAGGGTCTCCTGCTTGAGTGGGGGGTTGGACTAGATGACCTATAAGGTCCCTTCCAACTCTGTTAATCTGTTATCTGTTAAGTGTGAATTGAGAGTTATGCAATGGTCGTAACTTCAAGGATGGGTTGTAAGACACATTTTTCAAGGCTGTTGTAACTTTGGACCATTATTAAGCTTCAGTTGTAAATTAAGAACTACCTAAAACTTGTGTCTGTAATCAAGCTCCTTCAAATGGACTAATTTACAGAATGCATCCTAAATCTGGGACCCATGAATCCTTTGGAATTGAAATTTGGCAAATTTTTATAAAACATGACAAAACGGTCAGAAACCATTTTACTGACATAATATAACATGTCATAAAACATTTCCTGTGGTCAACTGCTTATGTTTTGACTATGCTTTATAGTTCTATAGGGCTACTTTCAAGGTTGATATCTTTTGAATATCTCTCTACATTTTTAAAAACCTGTCCAGTACATTATAAGCTCTGCCATTGTTTAAGGCAATTGAGGAATCTGATAATATATATTTGAAATATAACTGAAACTATGATCCAGTGGGCAGCAGGTTGTTTAATAGGAGTTATAAACTAACCCATTACACCCCATTGAACATTTCCAGGAACAACTAACCAGGACAACCAGAGGATAGATGGTTTTTTAATTTACTTTTCTGGTCTATGGAAGAGATTTAAAAATAAAAGAATCCTGTAGACAAATGATGGGCAGTGCAAATCAGTCAGATTTGGTTTCTTGTATCATTGTCTGATTTATCTAGCATAAGCTGCTAAAATGGGATGGGTTATACCTCACAAAAACTGGTAAAATGTGCAAGATTCTTTAGGCAAGGTTCAATGTGAATCATACAGAAAATCGAAATTAATTTTAAAACCACATTTTGCAAATCTTTTCAGGTAATAGAACATGTTAATTTTTTTTAAAAATCCCAGGACCTTGATGAACAGATCTCATGAGAGAAAATTGATTGCATTTGTGTGATGTATTTATATGTATGTACATATGTATGTATGTATTGCCCTTAGTTTCTCATGGATCACTTGAATTTTGCAGAATATAGTTTGAAAAACTGTTGAGCCACTGAAAAAAGCTGAACATTTACGACCTTTATTATCTAGGAATTAATGTATGGAAAATCAACAAAATCATCTTAAGGTGTTAATGTAGAAGGGAAAATAGATTTAATAGATGAAATGGAAACTCTCATGACTGATAGATAAATCAAAGAACATTTGAAGAATACTTTTTGTTTCAGTTGGAGTCAGTTTGATGTAGTGATTAAGGCACCAGGCTAGAAAGCTAAAGTCCGAGAGTTTTAGTCCCACCTTAGGCACAAAGCTAGTTGGGTGACTTTGGGCCAATCACTCTCTTCAATTCTAGGAAGTAGACAATGGTAAACAATGTTTGAAATCCTAAATGGGACTTGATCAGAAAGTCTCTAGTGATTAAAGACACTTGAAGGCATGCGTGTGCACACACACACAAATACACACAGAAAAGAACAGAAGCAGCTAAAGGAAAAGAGGAAGGCAATTGTACCATATGTGCAAAAGACCTTTGGAAAGCAAATTGCTTCTGTTTCTATGCTTAAAATATCAAGAGTGAATTTGAGTTAAGGAATACTATTCTGGGAAGGCACTATATTTATCATTATTGCACAACTTCCTGAACATTTTAATGTACATTTAAATTATTGTATTTCAGCTTCCCCAATAATTGATATGTCTCTGTACCTATGCTTTCTCCCTACATTGCTAACATATGTTTAGGTTTTTTTACATATTTGACATGAATATGATAGTTATATAAAATGTTTTATTCAGTATAGCTATTAGTATATGTTGTGCATAGCATGGCATAATTTGTGTATCCTGTTCATTTTCAGTCATTCTTCTTCAACAATTCAAGTGGTATTTGTTTTCCTTCACTTTTTGTGTGTATGTGTGTTTGCCAGGAAGTGTGCTTTATTGTACAATAGAATATTTTCATCTGGCCCATACAATGGATACCCTAAATAAAGGAAAATGCTATTGACTTGTACATTTTCTGGGTGGTCATTGGATACGGTGAACAAAATAATATTCATTAGATAAATATCTATCCTGATGTTTTAGAAAAGGGCAACTGTCACAAGCAGGAGAAAGAGGTCAAACCTGTGGAACATTAAGCATTGGAATTATGGATGTTTAATTAAATGTTCAGTGTGATTATACAAGAGAAATGACTTCAAATATACAGCTTATAAACTTTGCCATAGAAACCTGGACTATAATTAATGGGACCAATTAATGTGCCTATCTTCAAGTGCAGGTGGATATGAAAACATCTACCTGCTCTTTCTTGCTCTCAATCCCCCATGGCATTTAATGGATGGAGTCAATCTGTGTGTACAATCTATGTGTTAAAAGGTGAGGAGATTAGTACCTCACCTTACCCTTCAGCATAACATTTTCAACCTCTGACTGCGCCCCCCCGCCCCCCGAATTTTAATTTTGGTTCATAGTAAAACCTGTTTGCTACACTTCAACTGTTGCTAGAAATCTCAGTGAAATCATGTTGCTAGAATCTTTCTCTTGTCAGTACTGAAGTTTCAGAAGAAGTTAATTGAGAGATGAAAACCCATTCTATAGGGCAGGGGTGTCAGACTATTTCATTGAGGGCCGCATTAGATTTGTGTTTGATCTCAGGGGGGGATGTGGCCAGGGTGGACGTGGCCAGCTTGTCACTTGTTTCAGGGGCGCCTGTGGCAGCCTGAGTGCTCTGCCAGCGAAAATGGGCTCCTGATCTCTGTTTTCGGGTGCGAGCTCTGTTTTCGGCTGCGACAGTCTCCTGCAACCCCGTGCCAGTGAAAACGGAGCTCGGGAGGGCCCCGGGCCGGTCCTTTGCTGTTTCCAGAGCGGCCTTGCAGGCCTTGAGTTTGACACCCCTGCTATAGGGCTTTTTACAAAAACAAATTGACAAGATTTTTTTGGGGAGGGGAGTCAGCCTTACTAAAATGTTATAGTTTGGAAGTCATTCTTTTATGGAAGGTCTGTAACAAGCTGATAGTCTTTCAGAAAAGGAAAGGGAAAAAAGGATTAAAGGCACTCTTGCTTTGATTTGTTCTGAATTTTCTTTGTACGCTAATTCACATCTCATTTTCTTTTCCCAAAGCTCTTTCTTCCTCTTCTGAATCTTCAGTGCTCCCCAGATGTCCATGCATTTCTGTGCAAAGCCTTTGTGCCTGCTTGCTTTGAACAAACACGTGTTGTAAACCCTTGCCGGAGCCTTTGTGCAAGAGTGTATGAGGACTGTAAAAAGATGATAGACATGTTTGAAATTGGATGGCCTAAGGAACTTGAATGTAGCAGGTACATTGCTTTTCATATTTTTCCCCCCTCTTATTTCTATTTGTTGAATTTATACTCTGTGGCAGTCTCATGATTCAAAAATGTACAGGAAATGAAAAAATAAAAACAACCAGCCATAGTAGAATTCAAACACAAACAACATAAAAAAGAATAAAAATTAACCATTATTTCTATTAGAATTAACTTAGGTCTTAGGTCCAGCTGAATATCTCTTCATATTGCAGATATATGGCTCTCTGTTTTTGCACACAGTTGAAACTGCATCAAATAATTGCTCCATTATGAACACTATTTATATGATATCTGATTCCCCAAACTGTCTCCATAATCCCTCATTTTTGGGGACAGGGGGAAAATAATTTTATGAATTGGGTAACTGCATGCTTGATCATTAAATTAGCCTTCAGCTTTCTTCCCAAAATTCATGTCCTTGAACATCCTTCCTCTTTCAGGGAACTCTCAACACATAGTGAAAACATGATTAAACTAAATTAATCATGATTAAATTAAACTAAGAACTATAAAGTTTTAGTTTTTGCAAGCCTTGAGATTTACTCTTTGGATTGGATTTTGTGATTTTGACATAATTGACCTTTGTTTCATTCATTTTGTTGCTCGGTTATCATTGATGTTTCATTGTTATCTAACAGTTATTTTATCTGAGGTTAAAATGCAACTCAGGTCCATTTAAACATCTTAGCTTTCTGAGCCATGATGATTGGGAATCCTGAGAATTGTAGTTTAGCACCTTTAAATGATATTATCCTCCCCATTCTAGATTTTTAACTGAGTGTTTGGCTTAATTGGATTCAGGTTTTTTTTCTTTTTAGGAAACTGTAGATTTTATAGATAATTGAGAAGGGCTTGCAACCATTAGTATGAAAGCTAATTAGCGAATTGAAATTTCTATAGGATAGAAGTAGCGCTTGATGGCTTTATATTTCCATTGTAGATGCAGCAGTTCAATTGAGACTTTCTTTAGAGACCAATTGTTAGGAATTATGAAGGGCTTTTGCTCCTTACCATACAGGACAAAAGTGTTAGGCTTGGGGCCATTTTTGATTCCAGTTTTTATTTATAACAATTGATGAATTAGATCAGGCCACTTTTTCTTAACCAGAGATTCAGTCTTAGCTATTCAGGCTTGGAAAACCTTGTATTAACTATAGCAGTTCTCCACTTGGACCTATTAAAAAAGAATGTGAATTCTTCAAATAGTGTAGAGTGCTCTAAATAACTGCTTAACAGACCTTTGAAAGTTACTACTTATGCCCAGCAATTGTTAACTTTTCTCTATATTAGCACAAGTCCTTTTAAAAAGCCTTAAGCAGTCTGTAAAGTGGGAAAGTTATTCTCAGAGCTCTGGATTGACTTTTAGCAGTTTTTGTATTTGAAGCATAAGAGGCGCATTATTGCTTCAGTGTACCTGCAACTATGTTCCCTTATAGTGACTTTTTGTGGATTCTTGCCTATTAATTTTGTTTTCTTTCTGTTTAAATTTTGTGTGTGTGTGTGTGTGTGTATGTATGTATATGTATGTGTATATGTATGTATGTATGTATGTATGTATGTATATATATATATTTCTTTTATATATATATGCATATTCTTTCTAGCCAGGTTTTACCTACGTAAGCTAAGTTGTTCTACAGCCCTAGTTCTGTGAAATCTCATTCTAGCCAGGTTTTACAAATAAGATATACCTAGCGTATGCTTAGAAACATACATCTCATGTTTTGAGAAATTTTTTGTGTGTGTTTAGAGTAACAGGCGAATGGAACCCCGAATAGGCTGCGGCCACTTCTATAATATCATAACCAATTTCCCCCTCTTTTTGGACTTTCTAGATTGGAGGACTGTGATGAAACTGCTGCTGTCACTGCTTCTATTACTACAAGAGCTCATAACACATGGAAGATCCCAGGGCAGCCCAAAAGGGACTATGGATTTTGGTGTCCACGTCATTTGCAAACATCCAGTGGACAAGGCTATAGGTTTTTAGGCATTGAGCAGTGTGCACCCCCTTGCCCCAACATGTACTTCAACAATCATGAGCTAGAAGTTGCCAAAAGCTTTATTGGCATTGTTTCAATTTTTTGCCTTTGTGCCACTCTGTTTACATTCCTAACATTTTTGATTGATGTTAAAAGGTTCAGGTATCCAGAGAGGCCAATTATATACTACTCTGTTTGTTATAGTATAGTGTCTCTCGTTTACTTCCTCGGGTTTGTCCTAGGAAACAAAACAGCCTGTAATAAGAGCGATGAAAAGCTACAGCTTGGTGAAACAGTCGTTCTTGGTTCTCAGAACAAAGGTTGCACCCTTGTCTTCATGGCTTTGTATTTTTTCACAATGGCCGGAACTGTCTGGTGGGTGATCCTCACAGTCACTTGGTTCCTTGCTGCTGGAAGAAAATGGAGCTGTGAAGCTATTGAACAAAAAGCCATGTGGTTCCACGCAGTTGCCTGGGGCATGCCGGGGTTTCTCACAGTGATGCTCCTTGCCATGAACAAAGTGGAAGGTGACAACGTTAGTGGCGTCTGTTTTGTTGGCCTCTACGACTTAGCTACATCTCGATATTTTGTTCTCCTGCCTTTGTGCATTTGTGTCTTGGTCGGTTTATCTCTCCTTTTAGCGGGTATAATTTCTCTAAATCATGTGCGCCAAGTCATACAGAATGATGGCAGGAATCAAGAGAAGTTGAAAAAATTCATGATTCGAATCGGTGTCTTCAGCGGCTTATACCTCGTACCTCTAGCGATACTTTTGGGCTGTTACATCTATGAGCAGGTGTATAGGAAGATCTGGGAAACCACTTGGGTTTATGACCACTGTGATCAATTCCATATACCCTGTCCTTATCAGGTAAGATTGAAATATTAGCACATTTAATGCTTGAATAACAAAGAATAGGGCATACGGTTTTGGGGTCGGATTGTATGTTTTGATGCATCAATTAGTCCACAGGCAAAGAGAACACTGTTTGGAAAGAATATTTGATGCTCCCAGTACTTTTAGGAGACCTGCAAATTTTTTGTAACTGTTAAATATGGTAGTTCAGGGTTGTATAATTTCTTGTGGGGGAGGGGTCAAATTCATTGCATGTGTCATGACATGTATAGAATCCTTTAGAACAAGTTAAGGGCTTTGTAATTGTAACTTTAAATTGAAGATGGTAGAAGGACCATGTTACTCATTTGAAATACAAAATGTGTTACTGGAGCATAAACTTGTAGATTTCAGACCTGGTGTCTTCCTGTTATAGAAGATATTTTTAAAAAATTGTTAAGTAAATAGTTTCTTCATAGAATAGTTAGCAGCATCCTCAGCACTGGATTATACATACATACATTCTCAAACATTTAAAATTGAGAAGATCAATAATTTGCATAACAAACATCTTAATTAAATGGACATTTGAGGTTAATATGTACCCCTCTCCAATAAAGTCAAATGTTTACATTTAGAAACAAAAATAAGCAAGGAAAGTAACTGTAAGTTAAATACTGTATCTTTGATATCATTTGAGAGTGTCATTTCAGTATTATAAAACTTTGAAGTACTAAAGCAGTTTAATTTTTTTTTTTACAAGATACCTCAGATTTTATGTTCTATGAAATTACAAAGGCTGGTAGGGTAGTTACTTCTAATCTTGAATATGCAAAAGGAAAAAAATAAAATTCCTTCTTTCATTTGTACCATTATAATTTCTAGAGATTCCAGTTTTGAGTGCGTAGAGTAGATATTCTTAGTCTGAGTTTTTAGTCTTTCCACTATAAATCAGAAACGCCTATTTTTCATTTTATCCTCTGAAATGTAATGCAGGAAAACCATTTTTCCATTGTATTTTTAGTAAATGCTTATTGTTTTCCAGGTCCAAACATTAGCTAGACCGGAAATAACTTTGTTTCTAATGAAGTACCTGATGACTTTAATTGTTGGCATCTCTCCAGTCTTCTGGATAGGAAGTAAAAAGACGTGTTCAGAATGGGCAAGTTTCTTCAACAGAAATCGCAAAAGAGAGTAAGATGCGTTTTTGTACTTTGCCATTTTTACTTATAGATAAAATACCTTAATACTATATGCTTGAATGTATTAAAATGCCTTAATACTTCCATACTTGGAAGATACATACTTCCAAGTATATATCTTAGGATGCTTTGTGACTTTGTCCTTGTACTGGAGGGATAAAGTGCTTTAGGGATATGATTACTGTGCTCTAAAGATAACCGTTTTGTTTTACTAAAAACTGCATATGTAAATAACAGACATATGAGCACTTTTAGATGCTAAGTGACAAAGTGTACCAGTTTTATGAACAGTCCATATTCAGAATAAATATATTAAGGGCTCAAGATTTGACAATTTATCCATATTCTAGCTTTGTTCACATGAAGCCAAATAAGCCAGTAACATTTTTAGCTTAATGTGTTGTAAATCCCAGCCCTATAGGCTAATGTATTATATAGTGTGTTTTCAATAAATCATAGTTTAGTAATGATAGGTAAGCATGCTATGAAAATATAGGAATTTGGAGGCAACTGTTAGTGCTATATTCAAGACAATAAGTTACAAGTTGAATGGAGCTAAATAGCAGAGAAAAACAGTGGAATGGTTTTCAGGACAAAGCAGATAGTAGTCTCCTTCAGTGATATGGGCAGCTAAATAAATTTGATAAATGAATAAATAAGATGAGAAACCAAGGATACAGATGCAGGCCTAGGGAAACAATTGAAGAAGAAGGTATAAAATAGCAAGAAAAAACAGGCCAAACTGAGTGAACACACATACAGCACTGTCAGCCTCACCAAGTAGACCAAGCAGGAAACATGACTAGGTTAATGTTAATTGTACTTTATTTTAAAGTTATATTAACAGAATCTTATAGTGTAGTTCTCCCACCATCTCCTTTACAACTGAGAAACTAAGCAAAGTCCCTTCTGAGCCTCTTGCTCCACCCACTGTCCAGTTGCGGGCTATGCTGACTATTATCTGACCATTCTCCAAGCAGCATCTCTTCAACCTGTCTTCCAAAGTCTTTCCCATATATTATTGACAGTTGCATGGTATCAGAAGAAAGGAGATGAAACATAAAACATGATAATCTGGATGGATGGCTTTGTAGAGTTAGCAAAGCAAAAAGAAAAGACCAAGGATGTGTGGTTGGTAGAGCACCATTTCCTAGAGCGGTGTCATCTAGATATAGTGAGACTCGAGCTACTACTGAGGCTACTTCTCAGACAGGAGGATGTGCACTTTACAAGCTCCGTTGATTTTAACAGGATAAGTTTCTATAACTCCATAGTTTTTCCCACCTGATTTCCTTCAGGTGAAATCTGCCAGAGTTACCTCATGGCAAGATGGGTGGCAAACAAATTTAATAAATAAATAAACTACTAGATTAGTTTGGAAGAAACTCCGATCTTCCAAATATATTTTTTAGTCTTTCCCTAGCCTTAGTAAGCATGGCCAATGGGCAGGGATGATGGGAGCTAACAACATTTTGGGAGGCGATAACATAGACTCCACCATTTAGCTAGATAATGGAATCAGAAAGTTAAAAGGTCCATTTTTTGCCATGACGTCCAATCCGTTACTTTGTGTAAAAATCTAAATTAAAGCATCCAGGACAGATGACTATAGACACACTTGAGTACATGCAGTGAGGGGGATCCCATCACCATTTTTGGTAATTTCTTCTGCTTTTAACTGTTTTCTCTGCTATAAGATTAATTTTGCTTCCCAACTTTGTTTTCCAACTTCTGAGTTGAACAGGTCTTAAAACTTTTTCATGATATACCCTTAGTCCTCAACTTACAATTGGAGCCTGCCTGTTGTGGTCATAAATCATGAAGGCCATTAAGCAGGTCACCCAACATGACCTGATTTTACAACTCCCCCCCCTTCAGTTTGGATTTAGAGTTAATCTTGTAATTATCCTCCTTTTCAGGTGTTCCAATCCTTCATTGAGTTGCTAGTAACTTTATTTTCCTCTTCATTTTATTTTGATCTGGAAAAAGTCCCCAGAGAAAGAGAGCACACCTCTGCATTGAAAAACTTCTTCCATTATCTGTCAACTCCCACAGCCAAGAAGTTCCTCCTGCTGTCTAGCCTGAATCTGCTTCCTTGGAGTTTTAATTTGCAGGTTCTGGTCCTGCCCTCTGGGGTAGTAGCAGAAACATGCACTACCTGTTCCGTGTGATAGTTCTTTAGATATCTGAAGACTGCTGTCATATCTCTTCTCAGTATTGTATAGACTAGACCTGTGATGGCGAACCTATGGCATGCGTGCTGGAAGTAGCATGCAGAGACATCTCTCCGGACATGCCAGCCGTTGCCTGTTGCTTTTCTGGGTTCCGATGCGCACATGTGCGCCAGCCAGCTGGTCTTTGTGCACGGGAGCACCAGAAACAGGAAGAGCAGCTCCCAGGTGCCCGTGTGCATGCCGGGAAGCTGAGCTTCTGGGTTCCGGTGCGCACATGCGCGCCAGCCAGCTAGTCTTCGCATGCACGCCACAAACTGGAAGCTCAGCTGCTCTTCTGGTTTCCGGCACTCCCGCTCGTGCATGCCGGGGAACTGCTGTTCCGGTTTCCGGCGCTCCCCTGCGTATGTGCACGCGCTCCCTTTTCAGCACTTGGTACCGAAAAGGTTTGCCAACACTGGACTAGACATACCCAGATCTTTAACCATTCCTCAAGGGCTTTAGTTTCCAGACCTTCAACCATGTCTGTAGTTTTTCTCTAACTAACTCAAATTTGTCAATATCTTTTTGAATAGTGATTCCCAGAACTGGACACAGTAGTGACCAGGACAGAATAGAAAAAAAATATTTCCTGTGCCCTGGAACTTATGCTCCAGTTAATGAATTTGCCAGATACTACTTTTTAACAGCTTGATCGCACGGTGGGCATTGTTGACAGATCCCTTTCACACAGTCAAGGTTGATCTCCACCGTTTTATACTTAGACCTTATGTTTCTTCTCCCTGGATGCAGGATTTTATATTTCCTCCTTTCGTGTTCATTTCCATCTACTTCTTAAATTGTCTAGGTATTTTGTAATTCTCTCTTTTTTTTCATTTAAAGTATTAGCTACCGGTACTTTTCCCAACTTTATGTCAGCTGTAAATATTACAAGCTTTCTTTGCAGTTTATTTTCATTTCTGCAGATTTACTATGAAAACTGAAAAATATTGGAGGTACAATCTGTCATAAAATGAAATCTACAAGTATTTTGAGATTGACTGGAATAAGTTGGAAGTTTTAGGTTCAGTTGATATATCTAAATAATTATAGAAAAAAGGGGTAATTAGCATTTTTCTATCTTTTTCCCTGATCAGTCCAATCAGTGAAAGTCGGAGAGTGTTGCAAGAATCATGTGAATTTTTCTTAAAACACAACTCTAAGGCAAAGCACAAAAAGAAACACTACAAATCCAGTTCTCACAAACTGAAAGTGATTTCAAAATCAATGGGGACTAGCACAGGTGCTACAAGCAATCATGGGACTTCAGGAGTGGCCATTGCTAACCATGATTACTTAAGCCATGAAGCTTTAACTGAGATCAAAAGTTGTCTGGAAGCATCTGAGAGAGAAATGGAAGCAGAGGTCGTACGTAGCCAGAGAGTGGAGGAAGAAGAGTTTCCTCATAGTGAACAAAGCATGTTACAAATGCGATCCAGCCCTACGGTGCCTGTGCAAGAACAGGAGAGCAAAGCAGACAACAAGCAAGATATTGCCAGCTTATCTGAAAGCATGAAGAGAGCAGCTGAAGAACGGTAAGAAAGTTTCTGCTTTAGTTCATATCAACTACTGTTTGTTCTTCTTACTAGCTGCAAAAGTAGCAAAAATTAAAATAAACATATTTCAAGAAAATACATCTGTGCTAGGCATAGACATTAAAGCAAGTACACTATGGCACAAAACAAAAAACGTTAGATGCAGTCATTCAGATAGTGAATGTTTATATGGCCAAAAGACCCAAATAATAGTGTAGGTTCCTTGCTGGTAAAGACAATGACAGTGTAATTTGGTGAGACGCAATAAAATGCAAATAGAGTGTACATGCACACGATTGACTGCTGCTCTCACAGGTGGGGTTAAGCGCATGTGCTCGCCCTCCATTTCCACGGCCCGGTTGCAATTAGCTCACAGCCCACTAGTGGGCTGCGGCCCAGAGGCTGGGTACCCCTGGTCTGTGAGATCCCCAGGTCAGTTACTGATTTGTAAAATGAATCTTCTTCCACAGTGAGGATACATAGAGTATAAGTACTATAGTGTAGTGCATGTTAAAATGCTAAATAATGAAATCATAAAGGAATATGTGAAATTCTATTTTCAATAGTAAGTGTATTATATATTGTCCTATTTTAACAACTAGCCTGCTGTCCCTGAGATTTTCTAATTACATTATAGCAAAAGCTATTTCTAGTAAACATAATAGCACAAATCCACGGATGATCTCACCCAGCGGCTTCACATAAATGTTGAACAGGAGTGGCGAGAGGACCGACCCTTGTGGCACCCCACAAACAAGGCGCCTCGAGGTCGACCTCTGCTCCCCTGCCAACACAGACTGCGACCGGTCGGAGAGATAGGAGGAGAACCACCGCAACACGGTGCCTCCCACCCCCAATCCCTCCAGCCGGTGCAGCATGATACCATGGTCGATGGTATCAAAAGCCGCTGAGAGATCTAATAGGACCAGAACAGAGGAGCAACCCCTGTCCCGAGCCCTCCAGAGATCATCAACCAACATGACCAATGCCATTTCCGTGCTGTACCCAGGCCTGAAGCCGGATCCCCATCTCAGGATTAGAGCTGGTTTCTCTGCTTCTCTGCTACACAAGATCTTTAATCGAAAATATGGAGTTAGTGCATCATACATACAAAGCATGTGACCTGTATATATTACTCACTGCATCCTATGTGTTGTTTAAAAAGTGTTTATTTTCATATCTGTTCATTTCACTGCTTGACTTTTATATTATTCATCTCAATGTTTCTTTTTGTGACTCTAATAGGGGAACTCCTAAAAATGACATTACTGAAACTTTTCCACTCCAACTTGGTCATTCACATCTCAGTGTTTCCCAATTTGGCAGTACCAAGGGATCAGGATTGCTGTTTGCCCACTCATCTTCAGATTCAAGGAAAGCTCACGAGTCTGGTCATAGCTCAAATGGTTGAGAAGATGAACAAATATCAATTTGTCCACGCTGGCTTGGAATTCTCACCCTTGAAGTCTAGGACCTCTGAGGAGCACCAGGTTAGGAAAAAAATATGTTTCGTGGATAATTTGAGGTCAAGAAATGACTCCATTCTGGGTTAATACTGCACATGAGACATGCATTGTGTCTTGTAAATAAGCACACAAACACCCATTGCACCAAGAAAAAATAAAATAATATTGTGGAGAGACGCTGCGCACTTATTCCTTCTATGGAATCTGTTACCAAAAATAAAAGAAGAAAGGGGCAAATGTGTAATTTGCTTTATGTCAAACTCTGGTGAAAAAGTAAACGGAAAAGTTTTATATTCTGAAGACTATTGAAGAAAACTTAATTGCCTTAAGATCTTTTTAGTAGTGCTATTTATGCTTTAAAATGGAGTATGAACTGCTAACCTTTCATATGTTGTAGTCCATCTCCATAAGCCTCAACTCCAATTGCCAATGATTAAGGATGATGTAACTCATAATACAAGAACATCTGTTTATCCCCCTGTTCTTCATCTGAGGGATTAAACTAACATGAATTGCTGTGTCATACAGTAATAAATTATTCAGAGTTTGTAGGAGATGAAGTACTGGATACATCCTAACAGAATAAAAAGACAATCCTTCAATAATCCCTGAAGATCACTGAAAAAAAGTTCAGGTAACTAACAACTGGGACTTTCTCAGTGGAAACTAGTGCTGAGTCTGCTCTCTTCCTCCCATCAACTATCTCTGGGCTTTTAGTCTTAGATCTTTCTTACTATCTAATTGGGCAATTGAGTCCAAAATTTCTGTTGGCTAAGCAAGGCAATTAAGTGAGTTTTGCCCAGTGGTGAAATACAAATTTTTTTACTACTGGTTCTGTGGGTGTGGCTTGGTGGGTGTGGCTTGGTAGGTGTGGCAGGGGAAGGATACTGCAAAATCCCCATTCCCACCCCACTCGGCCAGCCAGAGGTGATATTTGCCAGTTCTTCGAACTACTAAAGATTTCCACTACCGGTTCTCCAGAAGCTGTCAAAACTTGCTAGATTTCACCCCTGGTTTTGCCCCATTATACAACCTTTCTTGCCATAGTTGTTAAGTGAATCTGGCTTCCCCATTGACTTTGCTTGTCAGAAGGTTGCAAAAGGTGATCATGTGCAACATGCAACCATCATAGATATATGCCAGTTGCCAATCATTTAAATTTTGATCACGTGACCACAGTGACTGCTGCAACGATTGTAAGTGTCAAAAATGATCATAAATCGCTTTTTTCAGTGCTATTATAACTTCAAACGGTCACTAAACGAGTGGTTGAATGTTAAGGACTACCTGTACTAAATCCTAAAATTCCTGCTGATTAAATGGTCAGAAGGATATTAAGGCTGGATGAGTGCAAAACATTTCAAACTTGAAACATTCCTTTTTTGAGTTCCAATTCCAAACAGGTTTAGTATTGGAAATGTTTCCAGAATGGTCAAAAATTGAGTTTCACACTCAAAATGTTTTGCACTCCTCTGCTGGAGAACCTGTTTCCTCCACATCAAACTCTTGATGTTTGAATTAAAAGTCTTATGGAGAAAGTCTTGCTGGGCGAAAGGTCAAGACTCATAAGTGCAGACACTTCAGTTATATTGGGATTTTCTTTGAATCAATTATTATTTTATAATCCTCAGCTTGCAGATTTGAGCCATTAGTAATACATTATAGTAGGTTATACACTGAAAAGGGAAGGGAAATTGGAATCAAAAGTAATTTAAATCAGCTACTTTTGTATAGCATTAGAATGTTGGTTATTTTCTATGTTATAGAATGCTTAATATCTAGATACCACCCACAAGTCCTTCAGGGTTTTTGCTTGCACAGAGTTGCAGGGGTGGGAAAGAGAGGAATAAATCACTGTTGAGGAATTTTTGGACTATAGTTGAATATTTAGGGTGCTGCTGCCTTTCAGTCTTGAATATTATTTGACATTAATATATATATAAATTGTCTTTAATAATATTTTGTAACATGTTGCCTACTGAATTTTGAACAAGGTTTGCACACATTTATGTGCTATTTTGGTTTTCCCAGATAAAGGATATTGTTTTACTAAGGATGTAAGATTTATTTCTCACAGACTAGCACTACTATTGTTTTTGGGTTGTGTTGTTATCTCTGTAATGCCTGCATAAATGTGACATTGTACCACATTCCTTTTTTAAAAAAGAACAATTTGCTTGATTGGAATAGAATTTGAATGTACATCTGATAGTCCATTATATACATGGAATTAATTTTGTAATTTTGATTACCTTTAACTGTTTTAAATTACAATTAATTTTTTTAAATTTTGATTACCTTTAACTGTTTTATTTCCTAGAGATAAATATGTTACCTTGGAATATGAGAGATTATAAAGTTTTGATTGTATGGTTTCAGAATTTATTTACTGAATTTGTGGATTGTGAATAGTAAATCAGATTTCTCCATTATTGTTGTCAGCAGATGCAGTTTGAATCGCTTCCATTTCAGTGTAGATTCAGCTAATTTCCAACTACAATTCTTAAAGTATGTTGCTCAGCAACTATTCTGAATAGTTGGCAATCTTTTCTCTTCTCTGAAAATAGGTTTTTACACAATGGTTTATTGTCTTCCCACTTTCAAAATCTTATGAGATTTCAGTGTTCATGTATTAACCTTTTTTAAAATTATTTTTATGAATGCAGGTTTGTTCCTGGGTATCATCTTGCTGATTTTATTTATCGAGCATAGAGAGATACCATTGGATGACAGTTTATTTGAAGCCTTTAGCAATTCAGGTTTTAAACATGGTTCAGTCTGCATGCCCGTTGATAACTTTATTGTACAACCATGTTTTCAGAAGAGGGTTGGTGGGCCGATCAGCAAAGTAGCATCATGTTGTCATGGCACAAAGAGCACCCTTTTTGGATACATATTATGAAATGGACTGACCTGATGACACGACAGTGCTTTTGTCATTTTGATGAGGGCAAAAAGCTTCCGTGGATGCCCATGGTCACATCTAAACAATCTTCAGGGTGGAAATTCCTTAGAGAACCTGCTGGGCACGCTTGTTTAGATACCATGGAGATAATGTGAGAGATGGTAGAATACCTGGCAAAGGGATGGAAGAAAGGGAAGACATAAAAAATGAAGAGATAGTGTCAGTTGATAGCTTTTATCATGTATGCCAGTGTTTCTCAACCTTGGCAACTTTATCATATGTGAACATCAACTCCCAGAATTCCTGCAGTTGGACTCCCAGACAACTTAAAGTTGCTCAACTTGCGTAACAGTGATGTATGGAAACTTAATCCAGAAATCTTGGGAAGAAGCATTTCAGATTTTTTTGATTTGGATCTGGTACAGATACCAGCACTGCCAGTGTTGCTACTGTCAGAGGCTATTATTGTTCCCAATCCTCTCTTCTGATGGACAGCCTCATTTCTCAGTTCCATGATGCTAAAGATGGGTTTGCCCAGCAGTTACACTAAGGAAGGCAAGTGTTAATATTATATATACTTTTGCCCTTCACATGTTTTTGCTAAGTAACAAAAGGATGCAAAACCTACTATTTGCCATGCTGTTTACAGTTTGTTTCTTTCATGGCTGTTTCATATTTTGGAATAAAAATGCAGACTGCTACTCGTGTTAGAGTTTGTCAATCTGTAATTTTCACCTTTAGCAATAGCACTTATATACCACTCCTAGAGTGCTTTACAACACTCTGAGTGGTTTACAAATGTCAGCATACAGTATTGTCTCCAACAATCTGGGTCCTCATTTTACCAGCCTCAGAAGGATGGAAGGCTGAGTCAATCTTGAGCCCGTCAGGATCGAACTCCTGGCTGTGGGCAGAGTTAGCCTGCAATATTGCATTCTAACCACTGCATCACCACAGCTCATTTTTCATCTATGGTCAGAATTCATGAACTGTAGTCCCCACCAATCGGAGCCACTTTTGCATAGTGGTTAAGATACCAGACTAGAAAGAGAGAGATGGGGAGTTCTAGTCTCATTTTAGTCACAAAAAGCCAGATGGGTGACCTTGGGCTAGTCCCTCACTTTCAGCCCTAGGAAGGAGGCAGTGGCAAACCGCTTCTAAAATATTGCCAAGAAAACTGCAGGGACGTGTCCAGGCAGTCTCCAAGAGCCAACACTAACTCAAAGATAGAAGCATGTGGTCACCATCATTGCTGCAGGATTTAGAATCTGATGCCCTCCCACTGATTAAAAGCACAAGTTTTAAATTGGTTTCCAGTGGGACCTTTTGTGTGGTACTCTGGACCCATGGCTATTCCATCTCCAGTTCCTTGCAGCATTACCAGGCAGGCTTGTTCTCATCTCAGAATTACGTATAAGGAACTACTTTCACTGGAGGGAAGAAGGATCTTCTCTTTCCCTCAATTTTATTCCTTATTTTGGTTAGATTAGATGCCTTTCTCCCCATTATAACTGCTCAGTTGAATTTGTAGATCCCTGACAATTATGATCTTATTTTTTCCATTGAGGCACTTTGTTAGGTCATTCATGATAACAGAAACAAATGGTGAAGCTGATTGTAGGACATTAACATCCATGTACTATTACTGTTACATGAAACTGTTGGGTTTTTTTTTTTTTTTGCATTTGTATATTTGTTATGGTGATTTTTTTAAACAAATATTCAGTCTAGCATACTTAACGTGACACCCAGCCCTAATTTTTACAGAATAAACTTCATTGAAAAATACTAAGGTGAATTCTAAGCAAACAAGGAAGTAATTCTGTCAATACACTATGATTTTTGTTTTAACTATAGTATGCTGAATTTTGTATGCATTACATTCCTGCATTTATAACTTTAACAGCAAATACTTTAAACAAAGAGTGTTGATTGCTTATTGAAACCTTTGTTACTGTCTTGTAGCAGTTCAGAGAAACTGACATTCCCTATGACAAATAATCTATTTTTTGTATACATTCTATTATATGTATTTTTATTCCTGGATTCAATAAAGTATTCTGTACTATATAATGGCATGAATGTTCTCTTATGTTTTTATTGTGTTTTTTTAAAAATATAGGACAGGGTCATATTGTGTCATATTGGCACATCTGGGAAAACCCGAATCAGGGTTTTCCTCACCCAAAACAAAGTTCAAGTCCTCACCCTTCACTCACATGTCCATTGAATGAACCAATCAGGTACCCTCCGGAACAGAAGATACCTCCTCATTCTTCTCAGCACAGCTGCAGGACACAATGGCCTTGACTTTCTAGAAAGAAGGTTATTTTGACTACATAGCATCTTCACCCCATACAATCCCCCCTCCCATTTTCCCACAGTAGAATTTGTGACAGGCCTGAAGGCTCAAAGGAAAAAGATGGCTTCCAGGTCTGACAATATGATTGTATAATGTTCAAAAGTTCATTGGGGAAGGGAATGCAGTTTCTTTGGACTAACAGCAATGAGAAGGAATGTGTCTTTTAATATTGTACATCCAGGATTCAGCTATCAAAATTAAAGGCCGTTGACAGCTAAATCTCTGCATTTATTTTATCAAAAAAGAGCAGTATTTTATGATAAGAATGATAAGAACCCACAAGAATGCACAATTATTGTGGATTGACTCCAGAGTCAGTCATACTTGAAGCAAGCCCATTGAGATCAACAAATACAGCACCTTGAATGTATTGGGTCCACTTGAAATAATATGAAATTTAGAAAATAAAAAATGAGTGTTCTTTTTTGGTATGTGAATAGACATTCAGTTTCAATTTTTTGTATGCTTAAATGTTCCATCTTTAAATACTAACCTACTTTTTATATAGATATGCTTATATATAATTTTGACCTTAATTGCATGGTATTTTTAAATTTCCTTTTTCTGCACTTAAAAGCAGGGTGGATAAAAATCAATGATTTTTTAAATCGGATTTTTTTTATTTTTATCGAATTTATTTTAATAAAAACTTTTGGGGTAAAAATCTATCGTAAGATAGTTCTCTATTTAAGATACATAAATAATTTAGTTTATTCAGCATGAAATGGAGCTTAGTTATGTAGCATGAGGCTGTATATTCTGCAACACTGGGACTATCGGTGAGTCAACAGTGGGTCAAAGGAGTAGCAGAGATGACAGTTGCTCTTTAAAAATTATGATTTAAATCGAGTTGATTTAAATCAAGCCTTTTTACTAGTGATTTAAATCATGATTTAAATTGTGATTTAAATCAACTCGATTTAAATCAAATCCACCCTGCTTAAAAGATCTTTAATCTTTTAAAAGTGCAAAATCAGAATACACAGCAAAGCCTTGAAGAACACCATCAAGATGAATATAGATGAATTTTGATATTGATGCACTATGTTCACTCCTTTTCCTAATTTCCAATTGTTTATTCATTGTTGTACATTGTATGGATTTTAATAGGCTTTCTGTGATAACAGCAAATTTAAATCTGTACAATCCCATACAGTGGTTTGCATTAAGCACTTTTGGTTTTAACTCCTTTTCTCCAAAAAACATACTTCTTTTTCTGTGGTACCTCTTTAAAAATTAAAATTTGAATCAATGCGAACAGCAGGAAATCAAAGAAGATGCAGATTGCTTTATTCCTTGAATTAGGGTGAACTGACCCAACTGTAGCCCCACATTTTTCAGTTGCAGGTAAGAAATTTGTGATGAGACCTTCTAATTTAGCATAATGGGAACAGTTGTTTCTTTTGATGAAAAACAGCTGAACAGGATGAAGAATAAGATTTCCCTTTGAAGCCTGACCAGCCATTCAGTAGAGTTTCTCATTAAAATGCCACATCACAGGAAAAAATCTGCATCCATCAGCTAGCCCTGGTGCCGTTCAGTAGCGCTTTGAAAAATGGGATTGCTTGTTTATTTTCCTACTTGAGCAAAAGTTTGGCCAACAGACCCAGCCTGTATTTACGTGCAGCTTTAAAAAAAACAAAACACAATTTGGCTCATAGTGCTTGCTTCTTCGTTCTTTCTTACTGATGTTCTTTACCTATTTTCATTTCTTCAGGGGCAAATAATCATCTTGTAATTGTCTTGCCGTTGACTAATCTCTTTTATTTACTAATAAAATGCAAGTCCATAAGAGCTTTTGAAAATTGCATTTGCTTCTTAAGCAGAGTTTTAATTTATCTGATCCCGCTTGGGTGATATTTTTTCCCTTGGTTGGGAAGTGGAAAAAAGGCTTGGTTTTCTGTACCTCTTCAGAATGAGAATGCTTCAGTGTGATTATTTTCTACTGCTGGAGTTGTCTGTATTAACAGCTCACTGGAGAACATAGCTGATAATGCGTTACTGCAGTCATGTGCAATCGATTAAGTTTATTGTGAATATTTGAAATCCTAAAATGCACAATTCATTTAAAAAAAGGCAAATCCTACTGAAATAAAACAAGGTTTATAATACTGGGAGAGAAGGCCATTTGGCTGAATTGTGTTGCCATTTTCTTAAAAAGTCCATCTCTTGTTTCTTTTTAGCCTGACAAAAACATCCATTTATTTTGGCTGTTTGTTTTTTTTTTGTATGGCAAAATGGATTAGAGTTATTGATTGACTGTTGACAGTTACCTCTGAATTTATCTACTCTACCATAATCACAACAAAGGTCTTGCACCAATCAATTATGTGTAAAACATGGCAAGGCAAATTATGAGATTTTAACAGTAGCAGTGGGCAAAATAGGAGCAAGAGCAAACATCCATTTTTTTTCTTTTTATGACCCTGTAATCCCTTTTATTGGGGTGGAAATTGTGCGACTGAGTGCATCTGACGTTTACTGGCCAGATGCCCTTCCTGACGCCTACATGGAATTCACAGCAAATATTTTCTCTTTGTGCCCTGATAAATGTCTGTCGCTGTCTACGATTGAATTCTCAACCTTTTGAGTGGGAGGTGAATGTCTTCACCACTAGGCCACCGTGCCACTCGAAAGCCAAGCACCCGTTAACCAAAGAAAAGCTGTAGAATGAAGACACTGAACAAAACAAAAGAAAACTGACGATAAATCTAAGTATCGTAAGTGGGTAATAACAAATTGAATAGTTCCCAAGTTAATTTTAGGATACTGTTAAAATAGGAAGTTGGCTTAGATGTAAAATACTAATATGCCTAGGAAGGGCTTCCTGAACAATTCTGGAAATATTGTAACTATCAAAACTGAGTTACTATAAGTCTTAAAGTATTCTCACATAGTTGAAAAACAAACACACCAAAATATCCTACCCATTGAAAAACCTTGCACAGCCATGTGTAAGGCCTTCACTTTGTTTTAATAAATAAATAACTCATTGTACGTGTATACAGAGTATACCCATACAACAAAGTTCACTTAACACCCAAAGACCAGGTCCAACACACACAACAATCCCCAAACACACTCCCACCCACCACAATTCCCCACCCCTAAGCCACTCAAACATGCACACAACAGATAAGTAATACACTCCAACAGCTCACTGATGGTGGCCCTTTAGTTCATTGTTGAGTGCAATTATAGCTCAGAAAACGTGTGCTCCGAGTTTTAATTGTTCTGTATCTTCTGCCAGAAGGCAACAGTCCAAAAAGATTGTAAGCAGGATGGGAAGAGTCTCTGAGAATGTTATGCAACTTTCTCAAACAGCGAGATTCGAAGATGTCGTCCAGGGCTGGTAGCTGGAGTCCAATGATATTCTGAGCAGTTTTAATGATTCACTGTTGAGCTTTTTTGTCTGCTACAGAGCTGCTCCCATACCATGCAAGAATGCTGTATGTCAGGACACTCAATGTTGCTGCGATAGTAAGACAGAAGTAGATGCTGAGATAGATTTACCTTCCTGAGCATTCTCAGGAAGTACAGCCTCTTCTGTGCTTTGCTTTCTGTGTTTTGCTCAGAAGTTGGTAACTATGTCCCTATTCATAGTCAGTTAAAAAATATTCTGCTGCTATTGGGTTAAATGGTATTGATTTAAACTCTATGACACCTTTGCGTTAAACAAGTCACTACATATGCATGGTGCATGATATTTAAATATTTCTAGATGCATTGTATTAATCAAATCTCACTGGAAGCTAGCAAGCCTCATAAATAATCAAGGTGACTGCAGATGCTAAAAGCCAGCTTCATAACATGCAATCAAACATGCTTTGCTTATGATTCAGAAATAGTGACAGGTGTTGGCAAATAACTGAGTAATGTCAGACAGTTCAAATACAGGCTTGATATTTCCTGGTGTTCCACCTGGTGTTTCCAGGTCCAACCAAGTTATTAAGCAATCCCACCCTGCTTAACTCATTAACATAGAAAAATAATTAGAAATGCCACTGAGTTGTTATTTCGTTGGATAATGAAATGTCATCAAGCAAATAAGCTGAGAGAGCACCAAGAACTCCACAACTTTAGTAAGAGATTACATGTACCAATAGTACCCATCTCCCTTCAGGGCTACGGATGACATGCTTAACTGAATCTTATGAGTTAGTTCAAATGACCTATCTTGGCCATAGTATTGAAGGGGTTATTTTTGACTCCAAATAGCCATGGTTTAATTTAGGAATATAGTTAACTGTCCCCTCATCATGTACATCAGTATTTTTCAACCCTGGCAGCTTTAAAATGAATGGATTTCAACTCCCAGCATTTTCAAGCTAGTATGCTGGGCTGGGGAATTCTGGAAGTTGAAGTCCATGCATCTAAAAGCTACCAAGGTTGAGAAACACTGATTTATGTAATCCAAACAGTTGATCAGAGGTAAATTATTTCCCCATTTGCAGAGATATCATAGAGAGACCTCATGAAAAGAAGACTTCTCTAGGCAGTCTTATTTCAGTGGTTTTCACCTCTATTGCGGCCATGTACAGTTGTTCTGTTCCCTGTAGCTGTTTCCTTGATAGTGCTGGCAATGATTGAATCACACAGATTTTTATTTAATTTTCACTGGAAGGTGGGGCAAGAGGAAGTGTCAAAAAGGTGGAAGAGAAATTAATTAGCCCTCTTGGCAACAGCTGAGAAAGACTAAGAAACATGGACAACTGAGAACGGATTGAGTCATGTTCCATTGTCTACTGTTGGTGCAGAGCAGATTTTTGTCGCAGAGAATGGAGAGAAAACAATCTGCACCTTGAACAAATATGGGTCTAGAGTTATTGCTTTCATATATCAGGCTCCAGATCTGGAATTGAACAGGTTTGATCTTCTAATAAGGTAAGATAAAATACTTATAATAGAAGATCAAAATGCCTTGGATTTTATCTTCACATCACTTATGTTTCTTTCATTTCCTAGCCTTGGAACACAGAAGGGGCTATAAAGAGACATGGGAGAATAATAATGCTGGAGGTTGTTAAAGAATATATCTTGGAGCACATAACACCAGACATATCACTAGAGGGCAAAATCACAAAATTGCATCTCACCTTGGCCATGTCATGTGGAGAAATTCACTGGAGCAATTATGTTTAGAAGACTTAGCTGTAAAAGGAAACTAGGTCGCCAAAGAACACAATGGCTGGATACCATCTTAGATGACACTAGGCAGAGTATAGAACAACTCAAAGAAATCCAATTAAAGTGAATTATTATTGTTGCTGTGCCTATGCACAGGAATCTTCTCAACCAACAGTTAGCAGCATGCTTGAGGTTAGATAAGCAGCAATGAAACTCAAGGGGGTGGGGGTTAGATTTAGTTTGCTTGTGGCTATTGTAGAGATTCTTGGCTGACCTCTTTTAACTTCACCCCAGGTTCTGTCATTCCTTCTCCTACAGACTTAACCTAAATGATACCTTAATGTTGCAAAAATCTTGCTTCATGGATGTTTCTGGAAATTTCAACCAAAGAATATTCTCTGGAATTTTATTCCTTTGCTTCCAAAGTCATATTTTCACCCACATCAAAGTCTTAAAGAGAAAAAAAAATGTGGAAAATTACACAATGTTCTATAATTCACATTACTGAAGAGTGTTCATCTGCAAGAAAAGGAAAAGTTTGAGGGCTGCATTAAACATTTTAGAGACCTGATGCAAAAGAAAGAGCATATGACATGTAAACATGGACATGAAGTTGATCCTTGATCCTTTTTTAATGTTAAATTTATTTAACTGTTTATTATGTTATAGTTCTCATGTATTTTATGTTTTATAATGATAGGATTTTTAAAAAATCTATAATTTGGTGATACAGTCAAAAGGAATGTAAAGTTTTTTTCTTTCTAAATCAGATCTGGATTTTCTTGCATTAGATTCTGCCAATAAATAACATTGGCATTAATGGACATTAATAAACATTAATAATAATATACATGATGTCTACTGATTGTCTAGCAATAAGTCTCCTTGTTTACCATGGTTTTTTTTTTCTTCTGCTAGCAACATGTTTGAGATAATGTAGGTAAATGTGGGTCCAGCTGGATGATCGCTGAAGGACCCTCTTTATTCATAGTATTGTAAGAAAGGAAATGTGCTTGTTTGAGGAAAGCCAATTATCCAGATGAAAGGCAGAGAATTCCTTTGAAGTAGAAACATTCAGAGAGGGGCCCCTCAGTTGTCAGAGATAAGAGACATTTGGTGATATACAGTATGAAGGTTAAAGAGATCAAGTATGACCACATGTAATACTAACAAGAGATAATTTGAATCTATGCTTCAGTAATTTACATGAAGAATTATGACTGTTGGCAAAGAATAACATGAAACAGTAATTAGGAAATGTCAATTAAATATGACAAATGTATATGATCACATGAACTGCTGAGTTAACAGAATCCTTTGTCTTAGAAGAGTATAAAAACCATTGTACCTAATTTCTGTCTTTGTTCAAAGCTTCATGTACAGAGCTTTGAACCTATTGCGCAATATACAATGTCTCTGGCTAACCCTGAAAAGTTGTGTTGGTCTTATTAAATCCACAACAGTGAAACCACTAGTTAATGCTGGTATAAACTTTTGATTAATGGTGGCTAATTTAGCTTTTCCTTATTATTCCTTATTATTATACAGTAAGGTCTAATATTAGACCTTATTTGGCATAGTTCCAGAAATGATGGCATAATAATCCACTGCCTAGATTTGCTCTGCAGGCCTCAGGATTTTGCAGCTGATGTCAGGCAGTAAGAAATTGGCAAGACAAGGTTGGGTGAATCACAACCGGAAATGAGATAAGGTGAAAATCATGGGGATCAAATATCATGCCTTTCTAATGAGGTAAAAATGAGGAAAGACTTTTCTTGGTAGTTTATATTCTACTTGATGATTCCATGTCTGAGATCACAAAGGATATTAAATGGAGATGCGTTAAGTAGTGTCTACATTTCATTTCTTTTAAACTGAGGCCAGGGAGATCCAGGGATATAGACTCATTTTCACCACAAAATCTAGTGAGATTGTAAGAGTACAATGTTGTAAACCCTCCAGAGTTGGATATGAGATGGACAGCAAACAAATTTAATAAATACACAAATAAAAGATTATATGACATCACATCATCTTCTACTTGTAATGTCCACATAGATAATATTTTAAATGTAGTTTTAACAAAACTTGTTAATTTGACAAAATGCTTCTGATTTTTGGAAGCCTGCTGAACGTCTTTCACACCCAGTCAGCCAGACGGTTGCTCACGAAAACCAAGCAGTCCCTCTCTGCATTCTCAAAGAAAGGGTAGAATTTAAATGCAATAAAATAACACAGTTCGACTTCAACCATTCTCTCTTTATACTTCGTTTAAAAACTTCCCACTGGAATTGGGAAACGCTTTGTTTCCATTGCTTATTCCCCCAATTTGAAATAGAAAACCGCCCCAACGGCCGGTTCGCTTCTCCCGTTATTTCCACGGGAAATGGAAATGCTTCGCTGCTTGTTTCCCACGTGTCGTCTCTTTTTTTTCCCCCGGTCTGCAATGCGCTGCTTTGAAGATCTCCCGCCGGACGCGAGGACCTGGCGAGGAGCCTCCTTTGTGCAACAGCCGGCGAGCCGGGCCTTCAACTCGCGCACTCCGGCAAGGCCGGCAAGCGACACGTCAGGCTCGAAGGACCCTCGAGGTGGAAAAGACGAGGCCGCTTCCCTTAGCCTGGCCTTCCTCCCAAAGGATCCCCACTGGCGGGAGAGGCCAACCTGTGGCGGGATGGCGAGCCTCGCCGCGCCCCCACGTGTTCGAGACGGCGGGAGCGCCGCAGGGACCGAGCGGGAAACCGCATAGCTACCCGCCCCAACGTCGACCTCCCTCCTGTCTCGCCCGGACTAAAGTGGCGGGGGAGAGCTACTTTCGCCGCCTTTTTCGCCCCCGACTGGCTCCCCTCCACCCTCGGCCCCAGCTAGTCGGGTAGAGGCGCGCCCCTTTCAGAGGGGAGCCAGCGGCGCATTCCTGACCGCCCCCAGGGGGAACTGGCGCTCTCCGGCGGTGAAAGCCTCGTCTGTGTGGCTGCGCCTGGCCGGACACTGCCCGCTTCTTCTGCGCTCACCCGGCGCAGCGGCCAGCTCTTGCCAGCTCGCAGCCGCCAGCAGCGCTCGCCGACCATGAAACTCTCGTCTCCGTCCGTTGCGCCGGGCTGCCCCGCCACGCTTTTTGCTGCTCTGTTGCTTTCGCTGCTTTTGCTGGCGGCCGCTTCGTCGCCCGGGACCTCGACGGAGACGCAGAAAGGGAAACAAAAGGCGTTCCGTCAGCGGGAGGTGGTGGACGTGGTGAGTGAACGGCCAGGAGGGCGATCAGGCGGTGCGGGGCGCAACAGGGCACCGCTGGAGAGGAGGGCACCAGAGCGCTTTGTGTCTCCTTTTCCCGGGGCCAGGCTCCGTCCCTTGGCGTGAAGGGACGGGGGTGGAGGACTTCTTTTTTTTTGTAAAGATACAGGTATGTACAGGTAAGTAAAGGTAAAGGTTCCCCTCACACATATATGCTAGTCGTTCCCGACTCTAGGGGGCGGTGCTCATCTCAGTTTCAAAGCCGAAGAGCCAGCCGCTGTCTGAAGACGTTGTTACCTTCCCACCAAAGGTGGTCCCTATTTTTCTACTTGCATTTTTTAACCTGCTTTCGAACTGCTAGGTTGGCAGAAGCTGGGACAAGTAAGGGGAAAGCGGCACTAGGGATTCGAACCATTGAACTGCCAATCTTTATATCTACAAGCTCAGCGTCTTAGCCACTGAGCCACCGCGTCCCTACTTATGTACAGGTCGTCCTCGACTTACAACAGTTCATTTAGTGACTGTTCAAAACTACGATGGCACGGAAAAAGGGACTTATGACTGGTTTTTGCAGTTAAGGATTCTTGCAGCATCCCCAGGGTCAAGTGATCAAAATTCAAATGCTTGGCAACTGGTTCATATTTATGACCGTTGCTGTGTCCCAGGGTCATGTGATCTCCTTTTATGACCTGACAAGCAAAGTCCATAAGGAAGCCAGATTCACTTAAGTACTGTGTGGTTCACTTAACCAACTGCCCTGATTCACGTAACAAGTGTGGCAAGAAAGGTCGTAAAATGGGGCAAAACTCACTGAACAATCGTCTCATTTAGCAACAGAAATTTTGGGCTTAATATGTGGTCATACGTTGAGGACTTCCTGTATGCACATTCTGGATGGGGGAGTCGGAAGCGGGATCCTAAATGTAGTATCTTGCCTAGGTAGCCTTTTCCTCTAATCCACAGTTTTGTTACAGGAGTAGGTTGATCTTCTGTTAGTGACAATCATATTGATTCTAACAGTAATAGTACAAAAGGGTTTGGTCATTTAAATTAAAATTAAACATGATAAAGATAAAACAAAGGAAAACTGGATGGGAGGACATTAGGCAGCAAAGAGATGGACACACTGTTTCTTCCTGTATTTTATATTTTACTAACTCTCAGCCTTGAAATCAAGGCTATGTGTCATTTTCTTTAGCATGACTTACACCACATCACTTTTTTCCTGTGCAAAAATGTCTCTAGGCATAGTTGAATGAAGTTAGCTTCTCTTAAACTAGGTCTCAGTTTTCCCTCTTAGTATGCCAAATAAGGAAAGCCATCTTATTCTCAAGAGTTCTTATGTAAATAAGATCAGGCTGAAATTGGAGTTTGGATATCAACAATTGAAGGAAAGACAGCTTGGCCATCTGCTGTGGTGGGACTCAGAGGATGAGTAACTTAGTTGGTTTCCTCCAGTCTTGGTGATTTATTGAGTTGAGCATTTAGGGAGATTAGTGGCTTCTGAAACATTTTTCCTCACTGAAGACATTCCTTTGTAAGCTGGAGGAATCATTATATTTAGTCTTGGGAATTATATCTTTAATCATTACTAGACCTTATTCCTACAGTGTAGGGAGAATGGAATTTACTTGTGTGAGAAAATCTATCTGAAAGCAACATGCTTTGGAATTAAAATGGTTAGACCTCAGTTATATAGTACATTTGTCGGCATGAGTGTCTGTACAGACTTAAAGTTGTGCTTGACTTCTGGTTCCTTAGACACAGCAATTAAATACAAGAATTTCTTTTCATTTCCCATCTAGCTTACAACCCTTTTTTTCCCCTGGTAGTCTCTTTTCCAAATGCTAACCAGGTCTGATCCTGCTCAGGTTTTCATGATCAGCCCAAGTCCAAGAGACTCTGCCAACCAGGGTGGATAAAAATCAATGATTTTTTTAAAAAAAATCAAAAAAATCGGATTTTTAAAATTTAAATCGGATTTTTTTGATTTAAATCGGATTTTTTTATTTAAATCAGATTTTTTTTTATTTTTATTGAATTTATTTTAATAAAAAACTTTTGGGGTAAAAATCTATCGTAAGATAGTTTTATATTTAAGATACATAAATAATTTAGTTTATTCAGCATGAAATGGAGCTTAGTTATGTAGCACAAGGCTGTATATTCTGCAACACTGGGACTATCAGTGAGTCAACAGTTGGTCAAAGGAGTAGCAGAGATGACAGTTGCTCTTTAAAAATTATGATTTAAATCGAGTTGATTTAAATCAAGTCTTTTTACTAGTGATTTAAATCAAATCCACCCTGCTGCCAACTGCTTAGTGACAGCTAAACATAGTTGGCAATTCAGGCATAAAAGCAAGATCAAATGGAGGAGGTGTACTGTTGTAAAGAACTGTACCACACTTTGAGTTTATTGAATATCATTTTAATTTGAAGAAAAGCTATGAAGCCTCCGGGACACCCTTCTCCAAACTGGGCCTTCCAGGCTGCAATTCTTAGCTAACAAAGCCATTCAGATACTTCTGAAGGGCACCATAATGTTGGGGAAGGCTGCTTCAGTGCTCTGTACCTGGAATTTGGTTCAGAAATGGACTTTTGCTGTAAACCCATTTGTTTATGAAGACCTCTTCCTCCTCCCCTCCCATCCACCCACCCACCAGCTTTTTTTCTGCCTCACTCTTTCAAAACGTGGCTTTCCTCAGACGTGGTTTGATATTCCAGTCAGTTCTGCCTGCTTCAGAAATTCCACATACTCTTAGAATGAGCCAGATACTTTCAGGAATGGCTGTATACAATCTTCTCACTGATTACCTCAGAAATGATTATTATGCTGCTTACTTTTCCTCATATTTCTAGAAATAGCATTTTGTTTTCAAGATGCTGTTCCCCTGGGTTTACTGGCATTGACAATAGTAGTAGCAGACTGGTTAATTCTGCCCTCTCTTCTTAAGAGAAGGCTTGGAAAAAATAACCTATTATTATATATTCTGCTCTATTTTTCTTGGCTCCTACTAAGCTTGTACTATCCATTTCTGAGCAGAGTTTGTCAAAAAGCGAAACAACAACAGAGCATAAAGAAAACGGGAGTAATGCTTGTTGGCTGTTTTTTTAAATTTAACCTAAACAACAAAACTAAATCAAGAAGATACAGAAGGATTAAAAAAATAAACTAAAAACCTACAATCAAATTTTAAAATATACTGTATGCCATTAAGATTAAGAGCAGTTGAACAAAATGGTACTTCCGTAGCCTATCATAATTTGGAATAGAGAAAAAGAGAAATAGAGTTGTGATCTCTGAGACATAAATATTTGTGCTTTGCGATACATTTAATATAATTATTAACAAAATTGGTGCCTAGTCCTCAAATTCATAGCACAGAAGGAAAAGACAACACAGAGAGAAAATGAAAACAAAGCAACTCAAGCCCCAATTTGGAATATTTATGGTTGCTTTAATAATCCTATCTCTGATGGGAATTGATTATTCAGGAAGAGAATTCTCGAAGCAGAGGATCTCACCATCTTCTCAGAAGGCAGTTGCCCTCAGTGGTCTTTGTAAGAGGGGAGAAGATAATACCAAGTGGACGTGGCAGATTCTTGATGCTTCATTGCTTCCTCAATGGGTCACTAATTCTAAAAGCCTCTTGAGGAAACACAAGCCCCCTGTACATCTCCAAGCCGGAATTGGGAATTTATCACTCACCTTTAATGAGCCAGGACAAGAGATACACATCTATAGAGGTACATAAGGAAGACCCTTTTGCTGGGTAGGCGGAAAGCAGAATTCAGATTTTCTCTAGATCAGTGGTTCCCAACCTTTTTTTGACCATGTCCCACCTAAGCATTTCTAAAATTCTGATGCCCCCCTGCCCCCCCGTGACATAATTATTACTATTCAAAAAGTGAACTCCTACTCACGCTGAGGAAACCTAAAAGGCAGGGGTGAAATGCTCCCGGTTCAGACTGGATCAGGTGATCCGGTAGCGATTGTGGCAAGTGGTTCGGAGAACCGGTAGCAATGGCGGAATGAGGCTCTGGCCACTCACCCAGTTGTCATTACTTCCTGGTTTTAACCAGGAAATAATGTTTTTTTTTACCCTCTGCGCATGCACAGAAAGTTTGTGCATGTGCAGAGGGTCTGCGCACGCAGCGCGTGCACTTCCAAACCAGTAAGGTAAGTAGATTTCACCCCTGCTAAAAGGCCATTAACTTGGTTTAAACAAGGTTCCAAATTGCCCCCATTAAAAATCAAATTGCCCCCCTGTGGGGCGTGGGCCCCATGTTGGGAACCACTGCTCTAGATGGTTGATGCCAGTGGAGCAAGCTCCACCAACAGGTGGCAGCATCTGGACCAACCTTTTCTGAGGTTGGAAGATAATTATGGTTAAATATCTGACCAGGTTAATGTTTCGGTGGAAGACCAATAAAGAAAACTCCAAGATTGTAGCCTAGATTGAGAAGCTGAAAAACCACTTTGCACATTGCCAATATAACACATGGGTGTGTCGATGAGGTCAGCAGTAATGAAGACTGATGTGAAGTTATCTTTTTAATTTTAATTTACATCCATTTGATTCACTGAGAATAATTTTGAAATATAAATGTTGTGGATTGTACTACTCGAGATTAAAGGAGTGATGGGATTGATTTGTACTGCAATTTACCTGGTTCTGTGTTCGAAAGACTGTAACGTGGATTTTATAGAGTGTTTCAAGGACTGGATAATTATACAAGTATTTCTTCTCCCTCTAGATGCGATACATGTTCCCCTATACTCTGATTTCAAGTTGTCTTAAAAATATAAACACAAACTAAATTATCTATTTGACATCAACATCTATATTCACTTGAAATTATGACTATTTTTCCCCAAATGGGGGATCATTTTCAGTTTGCTAAATAGGTGGGTTCCCCCCATCTAATTACCATTTTTATACTATTGTTCTCTTTATCTTAAGTAAATATAATAATGCCTGTGTGATGCCAACATACCTTTTTGTTTCTCAGTATAATGGGATGTGTGTGCAAGGACCTATTGGTCTTCCTGGAAGGGATGGAAACCCTGGAGTCAACGGAATCCCTGGAACTCCAGGTATCCCTGGCAGAGATGGGCTTAAAGGAGAAAAAGGAGAATGCGTGCAAGAAAGCTTTGAGGAATCCTGGACCCCTAACTATAAGCAATGTTCATGGAGTGCCTTGAACTATGGCATAGACCTCGGAAAAATTGCAGTAAGTATGCGCAACCATAGCATAACATGTAGGCCACCAAGATATGGTGAAGAATTTATTCCAGATTGATTTTGCTTGACTAATCATCTATTCACTTTCAGGGGCTATGTAGTATCCAGCAAAGGTAGATAGCCTGCAGCCATGTATGGTTCCAGATCATCTTTGGAGCTGGCAGAAATGTTTGTTCTGTGTTTTTTAGGTTTCAGTAAGGGAGAGAGTCAAAATGGACGTTTGATGTTTCCACTGTAAAACTGAAGCTCTGTCCCTTTTTATAAGTGGGTCTTTGATTATACAGTTACAGCCATCATTTTCATCCCCTGTGGATGCCTTGGTGTGCCTTAAGCATGGCAAGAATTCCAGGCACTCTTAAAACCCCCAAATTATTGAATTTTCAATATTTTGGGGATGCTTTAAGGCAGGGGTGTCAAACTCGATTTCATTGAGGGCCACATCAGGGTTGTGTTTGACCTTGGGGGGCTGGGATGGATGTGGCCAGAGTGGGCATGTCCAGCTTGATGTCACTCGTGTTGGAGGGTGCCTGTGGTGGCCCGAGCGCTCTGCCAGCGAGAAGGGGCTCCCGAGTTTCATTTTTGCTGGCAGACACTGTGGCCCGGTCCTTTGCTGTTTCCAGGGCAGCCCCACGGGCCAGATCTAAGCACCCTGAGGGTTGCATCTGACCCAGGGGCCTTGAGTTTGACACCCCTGTTTTAAGGGATACAGTGGGTATTTGCAGGGCTTCATTTCCCCCCCCCCCCTTAAACCACTTTACTATGATCCTGCATGGCACCCAATGTTTGGCCTAGTCCTTTTTGGTGACATCTTGACATCATTGACCAAGGTCCTAGTAAGCCTAAGGTCGCCCCTCAAATTGAATTTAGCATTGGCAGAAAACCATAAATACAGTATTTTGTACAGCATTAGGATTTAGACAGGAAACACTTCAGCATGATTACAATCAAGTTGTCTGCCTAATCATATATGGCAATGTGAAGAAGTAACAATTTTAATGAGTTAATGGCAGATGGGCTTTTAATACTGTTATTCAAAATAGGCAGTCAGTTTTTGCAGCTTCAGAATGACTGATTAATGCATGAAAGCCATTCAATAGAAAGACCATTTAAAACAAAACAGTATCTGTGATTATAAACCCTTATTTTTGACAGAGCTTAGTAGCTGAATGCATATTTTGCATTAAAAAGTTTCTGGCATTTCCAGAGAGGAGTTGAAAAAGATTCCTGATTGAAACTAAACAGATTTTCTACTAGACATTTTGATTCTAGATGGACCTGTTGACTGAATCTGCACATTAAGCCACAATGTGGCTTGTTTGATTTTGGCCTAGTCTGTGATCCAGCCACTGAAGTTTGTAAACTTGCCTTCGGTGTGAACTCAGCCAACAAATTCAGCAGATTTCTTAAGCAAATTACCCAAACTGTGACTGCATTGTCATCAACACACACAACACAAAAAAGCTTCCTCAGTCAGAAAATTTATTGTATGAAATGATGCCTTGCCTGTTTCATTTTGGATAAATTGTTTTAGTTAAAAAAAAAAAGAATATCTTAAGTACAAGGACTGCTCAATTGGAACAATTCCTTCATCATTACCAACTGGCACTTCCCCCCATCACTTTTTTATTTGAGTTTTGTGAAATTGGTCTTTATGAATAGCTCCAGCATATCTTGGGGCTACCCCTACTGCAGAACAGCAATTGTTTAAGATAATTGTTTTCTACAAAATTTCACTTATTCTTTTCTCACAGGAATGTACGTTCACCAAGATGCGTACCAACAGTGCTTTAAGAGTTCTTTTCAGTGGATCACTTCGACTTAAATGTAGAAATGCCTGTTGTCAACGCTGGTATTTTACTTTTAATGGGGCTGAGTGCTTTGGACCACTTCCTATTGAAGCTATAATTTATTTAGATCAAGGAAGCCCAGAGTTAAATTCTACTATTAATATACATCGCACATCTTCAGGTATGTACTGGAGTCATATCATAAAAGCAAGCATTTCATGCTGAAGGGCCTGCTCTTACGTGAAATGATGAAGAGATTGGGGATGTAATCATGCATAGCAAATAAAATTCTTACGACAAGTCAATGGATTGGTACAGCTCAATATTCTTTTCAGATGCTAATTAGTCAGAGGAGTTTAAATTTAGAGTCCTTCCCAATCTTAAAGCATTTAACTCAAGTGCTATGAAGCAGATACAATGCTAACCATGTCTGAATTCTGAATTGTCACAAACACTGGACCACAAACTAGCCAAACGTATTTTGGCTTGGAGTTTCATAGAAACTGAATCAACTTGGTAAGTTAAAGTACATGGTATGCCATGTAAATCCAGAAAATTGAGAGTACATGATTAATTGTAGATAAAAGCCAGGCAGAGAATAAAAACCTTTATCTTCTGCAGTGCCATTTCAATAGCAAGAAACCCCGACTAAAAAAACAACATCCAAGAGAAATGATAAACAGTTAAATAAAAAGCCATTTATTTTTTATTAAAAGAGCAATGAGGTTTTTATATATTAATGACTGTTCACTTTCCTAAAAAAAAAAAACCCTTAAGGAACAAGTGCAATTTCTCTCCCATATTAATTCTTATATATAATTCAGGCTAATGTGCAAAATGTATTTTAAAAGGATAACATGTATGGAACTTGAGATAGAAGGGCGAGAGAGATTCAAGAGGAAACTTTTCTAGTTGGGCAGTGAAGGTTCTTCATATGGCCCAAAGGAACATTGGAAAGCAACAGATAGGCTGTGACCTCAGGTTCCACCCCATCCCTTTGGATGGCAAGAGAGGTGGGATTAGGCATTTTCTTCCCTTCCCTTTGTATCCAGCCAAATACTATAATTGCTGATTGCCTCTATTGCTGAATACCATTTTCCATTGTTAGTCTTTAATGTTTATAGTGGATTATGGATGAAATCAATGCATTTTATATTTTAAACAGTGGAAGGATTATGTGAAGGAATCAATGCTGGATTGGTGGATATTGCTGTTTGGGTTGGGACTTGCTCAGATTACCCAAGAGGAGATGCATCAACGGGATGGAACTCGGTGTCTCGCATAATTATAGAGGAACTGCCAAAATAGAGCTTTCAGCCTCTTCTTGCTATCCCCAAAACAACATCCAGGACTTTATGCAACCTCTTATTGGTTTGTTTTTCTACATGGAAATATACATTGGATTATAGTGCACAAATCTTATTTATAGAAATAAGGTAAAAAATCTTTTGAGCCACGTTTGACTTCAGATGATTTAACAGTTAAATGTATGTGTAGTTTTTGCCAGCTGCACAAAAGTGATTTGTTTCAAAGATGTTTTTGGATTTCTTGGAAATTCATGGTCTATGCTAACCAAGCCTGCTTAACTCCTGAATCCATAGGATCCAGCCTGGTGCTGGCCTCCGTGGAGGTTTTACAGAAATACCAGAAGACAATTAATGTTCCATTTTTTATTCTATGTATCCTTAGCATTTTTCTACAGCATTTTGGAATATAGATTCTAAAGGAGCAATCTGTATTAATGATTACTTTTCTATCAATTCTATATATCCTTGTATTTGTTCAAAAAGAAAATTCAAATAGCCAATGTTAATTTTATATTTTTGAAAATGCAATTTTTTATTCAAGTATATCTTCTCCATTTCCCCAATGTATGATTTGTTTTCTAAGCTTCAAGTTCCTATTGAAAACAAATTAGAAAATTAATTTTCTTGTGATGTGTGAAACAATAAAATAAATCACCTGAAAAAATTATTGCAATTGTAATAGAGTAATTTAGTAAACCTGTATTTTTATTACCTAGTGTATAGCTGTCATCTTGATGTATTATATATGCATAGAAGCTATGCCAGGCATGGTGGAAGATATATGTAATTTTTTGATTTAAATAAAAATGTAAGAGCAAGTCAATGTATGAATATGAGTCATTATCTAAAAGTTTAAACATAAAAGCTAGTAAAATGTATAAATGAACATGATTTTTAAATCTATGTACACCATATTCACATATAATTTAACCTCTATAGCAAGGGTGTCAAACTCAAGGCCCGGGGGTCAGATCTGGCTGGTGGGGTTCTTAGATCTGGCCCGTAGGGCCGCCCTGGAAATAGTGAAGGACTGACCCGTGGTGCCTCTGCCAGTAAAGCGGAGCTCTTGAGTGCCATGCACAAACTTCCCAAGCTCCATTTTCGCTGGCAGATGTTGCAGGTGGCCATCCCAGCCGAAAACAGAGCTCGGGAGCCCGTCTTTGCTGGCAGAGCACTTGGACCACCACAGGTGTCCCCCAACACAAGTGATGTCATGCTGGCCACACTCACGCTGGCCATGCCCACCTTGGCCCCCCAAGGTCAAACACAAACCTGATGTGGCCCTCAATGAAATCAAGTTTGACACCCCTGCTCTATAGGATACTACAAATATGAACAAAAGGTTAATTTTTAAAGTATTTACAAATACATACTGTAAATTTTGGGGGGAACTTTTGATCTCAAATATTAGCCGTAGCTGTTTCCTGGCAGAGTTTAGAGACATTATTACCCATTGTTCCTATTTGTATGACTTGGTATCAGTATGACATATATGAAACCTCCAAAATTAGATTATGTGAAAATACACATGTAAGATTTTTATGTTTATACTGGTAATTCTTTTGTAATTTTGTTGAGTGTTACCATTAAAAAAAACCCTTTAACAAACAGAATTTTAAAAATTAGGTCAACATATTCTTTTATTTAGAAAAGGTATAGTGTTTCTGTAGTGTATAATTTGTTTTTTTAAACCATTTTATTAGATCACAAAATATTCTTAACCATCTATGTCTTAGTAGTTTAAATGTGAAATTTAGATTTTGTTCGTTTTGAAAATCTTACTATAACTTGTTCAAGTTTTCCACAATTTCAAGAGAACACTGATCATACCAAAAAGGAGTCAAAACAGTGAGTTCATTCACATTTTTAAAAAACCTTGACCCTAGATGTAATGAACTTTTTCATTCCCTTTCTGAGAAGAAATAGGAATGTTTATAATAATTGCCAAATTTATTTTGTACATATTTTCCATATGGATTTTAAAAGTTTATAATTACTTACAATAAATGAGACACTTTTAATCCAAGCCATACTACTACATATTATGACAGCAATTCAGTCCTGACAAAACAATTAAAACATACCTAGCTTGCTATTTGAGTAGTGAAAATATTTGTTCTGGTATTTTTGTTTCTTTGTTAAAGTAGGTAGAAAAGATTTTATATGTGAACCCTTCTGATTTTTTTTCAAATATTAAAAAACTTGTTTCTATACTCTTTTATTATGGATTATGGTGCTACTTTAAGTAGCACAGACCCACAGATAGATTACAAATATTTTGGTAAATATAAATATACAAGAAATTATATAATTCTAGGCAATATTAAAAACTCAGTGATGCTTCTTTGTGAGCAAATACAAACACAATTAAGGCCAATGTGGTTAGACTGTTCAGCAGTTGCTAATATTCCTTGCCCAGTCTTGCTTAGATTGGGAGAAATAGATTGGGGTAGTAGGAACAGCGATTTGTTGGGTGAACAGATCATTCTGAGTGGGTAGTGGTTTTTTTAAAAAAGTATACTTTTGGAAGACAGGCAAAATATAAATCAAACAGCAATACAACTGGAACAATGGCAGAAATGAGTAATGGCTATATTTTTACTTGCAAACCATTGTTATGCTACTTATTCATTCCTATGTCATATAATTATTATTTAATTATAAATACTGATTTAACTATTTCAGATCTTTAGTTTTAGTCCCAATTTCATAACAATAAGAAAAACATGAAAGTCTTGCTTATCAAGCAAAATGTTACTGCATTACTAATAGCCCTAATTTAATAACAACTGGAAACGGTAATTTCTTTGCTAAATGAGACAGTTGTTAAGTGAGACATCACATGACCATATTGGAGTTAGAATGTCAATTTCCTCCATGGCTGTTAAGGAAGATGTCATGTGACTATGACTTGCAATTTTACTTCCAGGTTCTCCATTGACTCTGCTTGTTGGAAGCCAGCTGTGAAGCATACAAATAATAACTCTGGGACATGGAGACAGTCATAAATATGAAGACCCGTCATAAAGTTAGTTTTTCAGTGCTGTCATAACTTTGAATAGTTGCTGAAAAGTCAGTTGCTAAACAAAGATTACTTGTATTACTGTAGTCCTTTTCATTTTTTAAAAAATTCATATTAAGCCTTGTTAACTAGGGAGTAAAAGGAAAATTCACTGAGGATGATAATGTGAACAATTTATTTTGAGATACTTACAGAGATCAATATAAAATATATCTGAAATGTACTAACTTGTGGGTGACCTTGGTCCATTTAAAAGGTATTACAAATGAAACTGACAAATATGAGTCCAGAAAAAAAAAATCTATGCCAGACAGGTGTTGGCATTCCTGCTTCACTGAAAGGGTGCAGAACAATATATGGAGTCAATATTCATTTGTTATTAAGTCAAAGTAACAAATGAGATACTTTTTCATATACTACAAAGGTGATACAACATGCAGGAGTGACTCGTATTACATTGGGCATAATTCCTTTATAAAATCCACGAACTCCTTCTTTCCTGTGGAAAAGCAGAAGAGATTTCTGTAAAACTTCCAGCTGGTTCATAAATTGCTTCAACAAACTCAAATGTTATTTTTATACTATTCTTACTGTATTCCTGGATTATTGTCAATTTATTCACTGCAGAAAACTGGACTGTGAATGTAAGTTGCACTTAGCACTAGCACTTTATGTACTGCTTCATAGCGCTTTATAGCCCCCTTTAAGTGGTTTACAAGAGGCAGCACATTGCCCCCCAACCTGGGTCATTTTATTGACCTCGGAAGGATGGAATCAGGTGTGGGTTCTACTTATCTTTACTACTGGTTTGCAACAGGACCATGTGTGCTTCTGCGCATGCACAGAACCTGCGCATGCGCAGATCACCCATGATGTCGTGGCGGGTGGGTGGAGCCTCCCGCCGGTTTTACTACCAGTTCTACAGAACTGGACTGAACTGGGAGCAACCCACCACTGGATGGAATGCTGAGTCAACCTTGAGCTGGTAAAAATCAAACTGCTGGCAGTTGGCAGAATTGGCCTGCAATTCTGCATTCTAATCACTGTACCATCACAGTTCATTACTAATTCTTTATAGGATTTTTATATTTACAAATATAGAAATGTTAAATCATAATTCCTAGATAAATTTTGATTTCAGGAAGGTAGAAATAAACATGTACTGATATCTCATTAAAAGGTATTTGCACATATTTGGATGGTGACTGGTATTGCTAGGTTCCCAATGTAAAAACTCTGTCTGTATTCATAGGCTTATATTCTAAATGTTATTATACAGAAGGAAAATAAATGGAAAAGTGAGAAAAATAAGGTCAGATATTTGGCTTTTCCTCTTTCCCTCTGTTGTAACCTGAGAAAATCTTCTCACCCTGGTTCATAGTTCTAAGGGGAATGTTCACAGCTCTGTGCTTTAATTCCAATGCAGAAATCTCCACATTTCCCTCTGAAATAAATATTTAATAATCTTTAAAAAATGAAGGTTAGGATAGAAAAAAAATCTTATTAGGTTTTCATTCCCAGGCCTACCTCCATGTCCTATGGATGACATCAAGTACTCCAGAGTATTTGTTGTGCTGATCCTGGAGACGTGCCCTCACAACCTGATACGGATATGTTGCTGTGACTGCAAATATTTTGGATGCTGCTGCCATGGTAATATATTCTAAAGTGTTCTAAAAATGGAAAGGAACCAATATTAGTTTCCAACTCTCGCAAAATCAAAGAAATGTACCATTTTTAACTCTGCAGTGTATTCTTTTTTTCAGTCTATACAAATGTTGCTCCAAAGTCATGTTGATAGTTTACACAGCTGTGCAAAGCAGTGGCAGAGACGCTTTACAAAAGACTGATGAGGGTGAGGCACCCTTACTCAAACCTGAGGTAACTACGCCCTCTGGAAAGCTTACTGCAATTTCTCTTTCCCAAATTGCCAGTGCATGTGGTCTTTTAGGTATTTGTTTGACCATACCGAAATTTTTAAAAAGGAGAAAAACACCACATGTACAGTATCTGCAATAGCTCATGTTTAAATACGGCACTAAATACCTGGCTATGTCAAGTAATGTTGGTAACTTTCTTCATTATTTTGATAGGTAGTTCAAAAACTGACAGGCGTACATATCAATCCAAGACAATAATCCAAGGCAGCACCATCTTTCCATTAAAACATAATACACTTTTTTTTAACCATGCCCCATGGATAAATCCACTATTCTTCATAACATTATACCTTCAAAATATGATTTTCAGCCTTTAATGACAGAAATGCAGCAAAATCTTGATGGAAAAAGAATGAGACTCTTGCCATGGCATCAGTTGGTATATCCAGTAATAAACAAGAAAGTCAGGATAGGTAAAAATACACTGTCGTATGGAAGAGTAATTTAGATAAAATTTAGGAAGCTGTCCTTCAAAATGTTAATAACTTACCAGCCCACTTTCTTTTCTAATCCAACTAATCTCACCTACTTCAAGTTGGGCACTCCTTATGCACTAGTGTAAGCCTGCAATGTTTACGTACCAAATCAGGCAAGGACAGAATACACCTGGCACCAATATTTCCTGACCTGGTTATATGTGACAGGTACAGGAGATCCAAGTTCTTGGAGTTTTTCTTCTTCATGTGGGCAAACCCAAAGCAAGAGCCACAGTCACGAGAATCTCCCTTTTTACAAATATTTACATAGGATCCTTGTAAGCACCTGTCCAATGCTGAGGTAATTAATTATCACTTAAACAGTGTTTATCTTCTTCCATATATGGTATAAAAATATAGTTTTTTAAAATGTCTATTATTCTCAGACACTAAATGTCTTCAAGGAAAAACAAAGTCCAGTTGCCTTTTGAAAAAGCACCTTTGGGATGATATTTTTTTTACTATTTATTGTAATATTAATCTGAGTTAAAACAGTTTGAAATGTTTACCTCTACAAAAAAAGAAACAACCAACCAATGGAGCCCTGCTTTTTACAAATTCCTACATATACATTAAAATGTATAAGAAGTACATGAAATTTACTCCAGTTAATCACGTAACTGAAAGCTTACCAAATTGTTGTACCATATCAAATAAATAAATCATACTATATAATTATCCTATAATAAAGTTGAACTGCCACTTTTATGTCAAATATATCCTTCAGTTCTTGAGACACACACCAAATTATTGCAGTATCAAACATGAGAAGATTGAGTTCTATGAGACATCTTAATGAACAAGAAAATGTACATGAAATATACATATACATAAGTATACATACATAAATATACATATATTGAATCAGCTTTACATACATACATACATATATACGCATACACACACACACACACACACACACACAGTGATGACCTGGGAAAGCCTTCCAATTAACCCCTTCATGTCTTCTGGAAAACATGTTTGACTTAAACATTTCAAGTTATGATGCTTTGTGATGCATCCTTTGAATGTGTTGCACAGCCCTAACATTTTATTTTATGTAAAGCAGATGCCTCTAATTTATAATTTACCTTACCAGTTTCACATGTGATGGTCTATTTTTATATTTATTATATCGGGATTTTAAATCTTCATAAGCCATAAACTGAAGGGCTCCATGTGAGGTTCCAAACAGACCAGGCACAAATCCCTGAAACAGTTAAATATAAAAAATGTAAAAATCACCCATCAGATCATATCAATTATACAGTTATAAGTTTAAAATCCAGCATTGCCAATACACATACAATACAGTGATGTAATGGTCAAAATTATATATTGTATAGAAAAGATTCAGTCTGCTTTATGAATTCCATAAAGGCCATACTGATGTAAGCACCAGTTTATCCTAGTCATTTTCTAAATTTAAATTTCAACCTATCTTTAATTATTTAATTTCAATCTTTCAATGATTCAATTATGTGCATTCTACAAGTATTAATAATTTTTTAAAAATAAAATGAATAAACTCTTTATTGCAATTTAGACATCCCAAATATACATGAATAGCAACAAATCTTTTTCACCGAAACCCATGCAATAACCCATGTTCAGGATATTTAATAATAAGTACTAATACTAGAACTCTTGACCAGCCTAATTAATTTACCTTATATAGTCCACGTATACCTTCATGCCTGTATATTTTAATAAGAGCATCAAACATTCCTTTGTACTGCTTCTTTGACAAGTCAGCACCAGCTTCATATTGTAACACAAGCCGAGTCTTGGTTACCCATATTGGGTTTGTAATACACAAAGTCACCACTCCTATTAAATATAATTTGAAAATCCTATCAATGGTAGCATCTTACTTTACAGAGAGCACTTCAAACATAATTTGAAAATTTATGATTTATGCATCACATGGAGTTTATGCATTCAATTTGCAAAAACCTCAGTATCTATACTGTATCTATACTATACGTAGCAAATATTTACCAAACAGTTTTATAGAACTACAATTATAAACCTAAATCAACTTTCCTGGAAGGAAAATTCATTTAATATATGGATTTCAGCATAACTTGTATTGTAAAACTGGGAATACATTTGTGGTGTCTTTGTATTGTGTTCAGGAAGTATGGATAAGAATTTCTAAGAAAGTGTTAGAGAAAATAATTTTTTTTAAAGATCTAATACTCAGCAAGTTGAGTATTTGTACTTTCTATAGGACAAAAATACAGTTTTAGATGTTCAAAATTATTTTCTGAACTAAATATAACTCAACAGAAACAAAGTAGAGCATACTATATAATATACTATAGGTACAAATAGCTACATTTGTATAGTTACAAATAGCTCATATATTTCTTACCAGCTTCAGCTGCTGACACTAGGTGTTCAATTGCTCCAAGGTTTTCCATCTTATTCTCTGTCTTGTGGGCTTTAATAGCATTGTAGCTAAAGAATCAAATATGAAGATTAGCAAATCCAGATTACTTGTTATACAATCATTAAAATAACCTGTTTCAGTAAAGTTGAGGCATATTGACTGTTAAGAAAAATACCAGTATATTATGGGAATATCCTAAAACACCATGCAGGCTTTTGAGTTTTTAAGAACTCTTTATCTACTTGCCTGTGCAAGTCTGGACTTGTACAGATGGCGCCTCACTTGCAGAGCTTCATTGGCTGCCAATTTAATTCTGGATCCACTTCAAGGTGCTGGTTATCACCTTTGAAGCCCTATGTTGCTTGGAGTCATGTATCTGAAGGGCTGTCCTTTACCAATACATCTATTTGACCCACCAGATTGAGAAGGTAGGATATGTTATGGGTCCCTTCTATCAAGAATGTCTACCTATGGGGCTAAGAAAAGAGCCTATTCCATTGTGGCTCCCTCCCTGTGGAAGGTCATCCCTGCAGAGGTAAGACCAGCTTCCTGTCCCCCCTCATACTGTTTCAAAAGGGCTTTGTCAGTGGACCTGGGGATCCCAGGTTGATATGGAGCCCATCAAGTGGATGTTGTTGCCAGGGGGGAGGGGGAGTTTACTGGGTTTTCTAATTGGGAATGTATTCTTGTAGGCTGTCCAAGTCACCATCTATTGGGTTGCTGTATAAATTTAATACAAAATCAGGTAAGATTTAAATAACCCTAATTTTTGCTTATTTACCATCTTGCTGATTAGCAATTTTGGGAATTTGAATGTTTGCATGCCATTGTATGATCCCAGGTTTGTGTATATTGGTCTTATAGGACTGGAAATCAGAATATAAACTCACCAAACAGAGTCTTAAATTAAATGGCCATTTCACACATGCCCGGTTACTGTGAATAGCTTTTTTAAACTGACCCTATGCCCTTTGATAAAAAGCTTTTCATATTTTGCTGTGTTTGATGGACAATAAGATATAGCCTGCTCTCACTTACATGGGATTCTCAATATATTTGTGCCAAAGTAGGAGGTTTGGAAATGGTATTGAAAGTGACAATCCAAAGCCCAACAGATGATGATATTTGACAAATTTTAATTATATTCAGTGGCCAATAAATGGGAAGGCAGTTTACACAACTGATGCTTCTCTTCATTTCTTCCCTGTTGAAGTTCCTGGTATAAGCTATAAATATTTCCAGGTGATCAAGACACAATCCTAAACAGAAGTGCTGTGTTATATACAGATAGGAGCTGTGCAGTGTTTCAGATTTGGTTCTAAAAAATGTTTTGGAGAGAACATGGATGCAAACATAGCACTGTTTTCAATTCTAAAATGCAGCTTTATCTTTTCCTAGAAAAATATTTCAAAGAGTTGCAGAGAGGTGCTATGTTAGTACCCCCACATGTTCCAAAGCACCCTTTTGGGAGCTCAGTCCAAAACGATACATAGCTCTAATACAGATGTGATGCAAAGAGAGAAATTATCTGAAATCATGGACAGGAGCTTGCAACATCCCTCACTACCTGCTTCTGCTCTCCCATGCAGTCTTGTATGATCTTGTATGATCAGTCTTGAGAGTGTGGTGGCACAGCAACTCCCGCAGTACCTGGATGAAACTGTCTATCTAGATCCGTTCCAGTCCGGCTTCAGGCCTGGTTACAGCACTGAAATGGCATTGGTCGCATTGGTTGATGATCTCTGGAGAGCTTGTGATAGGGGCTGCTCCTCTATCCTGGTTCTATTAGATCTCTCAGCGGCTTTTGATACTATCGACCATGGTATCTTGCTGCGCCGACTGGAGGGGCTGGGAGTGGGAGGCACTGTTCTACAGTGGTTCTCCTCCTATCTCTCCGACCGGTCGCAGTCTGTGTTGGCAGGAGGGCAAAGGTCGACTTCAAGACACCTTACTTGTGGGGTGCCGCAGGGGTCGGTCCTTTCACCTCTTCTGTTCAACATTTATGTGAAGCCGCTGGGTGAGATCATCCGTGGTTTTGGGGTGCAGTGCCATCTTTACGCTGAGGATACTCAGCTGTAGATCTCCACCCCAGACCACCCCAGTGATGCCCTTGCAGTGATGTCCCAGTGCCTCGAGGTTGTGCGGATCTGGATGGGGAGAAGCAGGCTCCGACTCAACCCTTCCAAGACTGAGTGGCTGTGGATGCCGGCGTTCCGATATAGCCAGCTGATACCATTGTTGACTATTGGGGGCGAGACATTGGCCCCCACGGAGAGGGCTCGCAACTTAGGTGTCCTCCTGGACACGCGGCTGTCTTTAGAAGAACATATGACGGCTGTGGCCAGGAGAGCTTTCTATCAGGTTCGCCTGATTCGCCAGTTGCGACCCTTTCTGGATCGGGACTCCTTATGCACAGTCACTCACGCCCTCGTCACTTCTCGACTGGACTACTGTAATGCTCTCTACATGGGGCTCCCCTTGAGGTGCACGCGGAGGCTCCAACTGGCACTGACCACTGACAAGAATTAGATTAGTGCTGTAAAATCTTCTAATTAAAGCCTAGAACATATTTAATCTGCTGTGGGGGAAGTGAAAAAAAATGGGGAAAAAACAAACTGTTTTGAGATTAACTGGGAGACATTTAAACAGCTTCAACTTACAAGAAAAAATACAGACCCCAAGAGGCACCCGCACCCCAAACATTTGGAGTCACTCCTTGGTACAGACCACGTAATCCTTCTTGTTTCCAGACGGTTGACAAACAATGCAAGATACCATTGTATTTTGGTCTCAGCTCCAAGCCATCACTCACTATACAAAAGAATTGGAAATCAGTTTGAAAACTGTATGCTCTTGAATCAATGATCAATGTGACTCTCTAAGACAGGGGTGTCAAACTCGCGGCCCGCGGGCTGGATGCGTCACATGCTGGCTCTGTCCCCACCCGGTTTAACGAAGGGGAAAAAAGCCCCAATACTTCATGTGACACCGCCATGACACCGTGAGTTTGACACCCCTGCTCTAAGACAACCACAGTATGTTTTTTCCCCTCCTGGTGAAAACAAAACTCCAATTTTATGTGTCTCCATAAATTACACTAACAGCCTCTCATCCTGATTCCCTAATAGTTAGCAGTGTCCACAGCATCTCTTCCACAGGCAGAAAAAGCAGCTGATGTATCATCCATTCCTACATCTCTAAATTCATTTAACAGAGAAACATCCAGGTAATAAAGAATTTCTTGGAACAGCATTTTTTATGCAGAAAATTCAGTATCTGGACTCAAGTTAAAAGATTATCTTAAACAGCTGCCTAGTGTGCTAAAGTGGAATAATAAAACTGAATGAACCAAAGATCAGATTCAGTATTTGGTGACATACATAGCAATAGCATTTAGCCTTATATACCGCTTCACAGTCCGTTATAGCCCTCTCTAAGTGGTTACAGAGTCAGCATATTGCCCTCAACAATCTGGGTCCTCATTTTACCCACCTGGGAAGGATGGAAGCTGAGTCAACCTTGAGCCTGGGGAGATTTGAACTGCCAAACTGCAGGCAGCAGAAGTAGCCTGCAGTACTTCACTCTAACCACTGCACCACCCAGGCTCATACATACATTAATGGAGAAGATAGAAGTACAATTGGGGCAGTGATGACCTGTCATATCAAAGTGCTGTCAATTTCTAGTAAAGAGGATGCATAGTGTGAGTAGTTCTTTCCTTTATATGTTGTCCTTCCAAGTACATGTAGTCCTCGACTTACAACAGTTCATTTAGTGGCCATTCAAAGTTACAACGGCACTGAGAAAAGTGAGTTATGACCATTTTTCACACTTAAGACCATTGCAGAATACTCATCGTCATGTGATTTATATTGGGATGCTTGACAACTGGTTCACATTTATGACAGTTGCAGTGTCCCAGGGTCATGCAATCACCTTTTCCCAACCTACTGACAAGCAAAGTCAATGAGGAAGACAGCTTCACTTAACAACCATGTTATGAACTTAACTGCAGGGATTCCCTTAATAACTGTGACAAGAAAGGTCGTAAAATAGGGCAAAACTTAACCAATTTCTCACTTAGCAACATAAATTTTGAGCTCAATTGTGGTCCTAAGTCGAGGACTACCTGTAGCATCAGGAAGGAGATATAGAAGCATAGCCAGCTGCATGAACAGTTTTTATCTGTGGGCTGTCAGACTCCTGAATGAGAAATAACATCATAACTACGTAGTATGATGGACATGTAGGTCCGGCACAATGTGTAACATGTTCATACTGGTGCAATAGGACTGGATGTTTTGTTAATATGATTTAATGGGTTAGGGATTTTCTGTCTTCACTGTGAGTTGTATTGTGTTGGGGGGGGGTGCACTGAGGGAGCTCCACCAATCTCATTCAACATATGCTGTGCAGTGACAATCAAAGTTTTTATTATCAATTCAACAAAGAATGTTCTTTCTGTGCCAACTCAGGAAGCTCAAACTGCTCAAACTACAGAGGAATTATTGAGTCTGTCATCTGCACCTCTATAACTGTCTGGTTTGGTTCTGCAACCCAACAAGAAAAAACCAGATTTCAATGGATAATTAGAACTGCAGAAAAAACAATTGCTACCAACCTGCCTTCCATTGAGGACCTGTATACTGCACGAGTCAAAAAGAGGGCTGTGAAAATATTTACAGACCCCTCACATCCTGGACATAAACTGTTTCAACTCCTACCCTCAAAACGATGCAATAGGGCACTGCACACCAGAACAACTAGACACAAGAACAGTTTTTCCCCAAACACCATCACTTTGCTAAACAAATCATTCCCTCAACACTGTCAAACTATTTACTAAGTCTGCACTACTATTAATCTTCTCATCGTTCCCACCACCCATCTCCTCCCACTTATGACTGTATGACTGTAACTTTGTTGCTTGTATCCTTACGATTTATATTGATATTGATTCTTGATTGCTTATTGTACCCTCTGACTATCAAGTGTTGCAATTTATGGTTCTTGATGAACGTATCTTTTCTTTTATGTACACCAAGAGCGTATGCACCAAAGACAAATTCCTTGTGTGTCCAATCCCACTTGGCCAATAAAGAATTCTATTCTATTCTATTCTATTCTATTCTATTCTATTCTATTCTATTCTATTCTATTCTATTCTATTCTATTCTATTCTAATTCTTATTCTATTCTATGCCACATACTTTCCACCCCCACCTTCCCCCCAGCAACGACCCTGCTGCGCCCATTTAACGCCCGCTTCTTTGGCAGGAGGGAAGGGAAGGGGAGAGGAGCTCACCTGCGAAGCGGATCTTGACCAAGTCCAGCGGGTGCAGGACCAACGTGGAGACAACGCCGCCGCTCACCCCGGCCAGCAGGTTTTCGTAGCGCACGTGCCTGAACAAAGACTTTGCCGCCGGGGCCGAGTTAGCCGAGGGGGAAGCAGCAGAGCCCGCCAGCTTACTCGGGACGCCTGGCACAGCGGTGGAATTCATGAAAGGGGAAAGAAGCAAAGGCAGCCGACAGGACGGAGGAAAACAAAGAAAAAAGACCCCGCACGAGACCCGTAGACACTAGATTTCCCTTCCGCTTCCTTCTTATAGGCAGCAACCCGCAGTCGCTCACAGTTGATCCTCCAATCACCCGGCACCATTCACAGCCGGGCCCTCCGCGAGGGCGGGACTAGGAGTCACGTGAGCGCGCGGGGCGGCCGGCTTCTTTTCGCTTTACTACACAGAACTCTTTTTGCTTAAGGTTCTCTCGGGCCTCGGCCTGAGGTAGCGCCTCGATCCGGAAGTCCTTCCGGGAGTTTTTTTTTCCTTTTCCACACGTGGTGGTGGTGGTGGGGTCTTCGGAAGGCGAATTGACTCCCCCCCCCCCGAGGCGGAAAATGAGGGTGAAGGTTCTGAGCAGGAACCCGGACGACTATGTGCGCGAAACCAAGCAGGACATTCAGCGGGGTGAGCGCGAGAAGAGAAGGGGGGGGGGAGCGGGATGAGGGAGGGTCGTTGCCTAGGAAACCGGCAAGGGCGCCTCAGTCCAAGCAGTGTGTGTGGGGCGGGGGGGGGGGGGCTACAGTTTAATGGCTAAAGTTATGGCTAAATGGCTACAGTTTAATCCAGGGGTCTCCCACCTTGGCAAATTTAAGACTTGTGGACTTCAACTCCCAGAATTCCTCAGCCAGCGAGCTGGCTGAGGAACTCTGGGAGTTGAAGTCCACAAGTCTTAAACTTGCCAAGGTGGGAGACCCCTGGTTTTTAATCGGAATTATGAAGTGACCTGTTGCTTTCGTTACGAACTTTCTCGCTTGGCTCAGTTCCCCTCAAGCTGAGGAAAAAATTGTTTTTTCCTACCTGGAGAATTAACAGGTTGGATTTAGCTTTCCGCCTGAACGGCTCTCTACTAGGTCCCGTTTTTAGATAGTGAGGTGCCATCGATGGAGTTCACCTCTTGGGGGTTTGGGTGGGTGTCGCCATTATTAGGATTTGAAAGATGGTGTATGTAAATTGATTGTAGTGGTTAAGGTATATAAGGCTAGAGAGTGGGAGTTCTGGTGCTGCCTCAAGTGCAAAGCCAGCTGGGTGGCTTTGAGCCAGTCACCTTCTCTCAGCCCTAAAAAGGAGGCAGTGGCAAACCACTTTTTTTGGGGAAAAAAACCTTGTCTACAAAACTTCAGGGAGTTGTCCAGGCAGTCTCCGTAAATCGGACTCCAAATCGGACTCCCCATTAAACCATTGAGAAATTGATTGTAAATCTAAGGTGGGGAAAAATTATTTTCCAGGATAATCTTGGGTTACTCACCGAAAAAGAAAAAAAAAGGCAATCTTCATGGATGGCAATATGTTTACACATGTGTTATTTGCTTTATTTCCAGTTCCACGAAATTACGATCCTGCGTTACACCCATTTGAAATTCCACGGGAATACACAAGGGCGCTAAATGCAACTAAATTAGATCGTATATTTGCGAAACCTTTTCTTGCATCGTTAGATGGTCATCGGGATGGAGTTAATTGCATGGCTAAACATCCAGAGAGCTTGTCTACAGTTCTGTCTGGAGCATGTGATGGAGAGGTAAATATTACTTTGATATAACTGAAACATATGTTTTCTTAGAGATTGTTAAGTGTAATTATGAAAACTTTTCATGGATTTTGCTAACTCTTCTCCTGTGGCATAGACTATAGATTTGCTTTAAAACCTAACATTCAGGAGTCTATAGTTTATGGCTGCCATTACTTTTGTTCTTGTTTTTTCATTAATGTTGTTCTTTCCTAAAATATAGGTATTTGAGGAAAAAAATACAACAGGAAATGTGTGACCTCTAGAAATAATTTCAAGTTATAATAAAAGGGATTTGATAGCTAATTTTATTTAGTTTTCTAGCCAGCATGGGAAGTGTATAGAGATTAAAGGCAATATTATCTGAACAGTTCCCATGCCTTTCCCTGCTTATATCCCAAAATATGTACAATGTTTAGTTCTAAATTGGATTTGTTTCTATTTCAACTGATGGAAATAAGACATTAATTGTTGGAAAATTATCAAGTTTCAGCCTTGGGTTTCTGACTTGCATCAATTTAAAGTCTTATTATGAAATTTATGGAAAAATTAAACTGTCAAATGAAAGCCTGTCAATTTAATCATTAGAAAAATATCTTGATACTCTTCCGCTTTGTTTTTTTATTTTTGCTCAACTCTCAGAATGATAGTTTGCTTCTGTTGTAACATGCTGGTATATATTTAAATATTTCCTGTTTCTAAATTTCACATGAAGATGAACAGTTGTATATTTAATACTTCATTATGAATTATTATGATATAAGCATGTTGTTGATTTATAAGGTTAGAATCTGGAACTTGATGAAGCGTGTATGCATCCGTACATTGCAAGCACATGAAGGCTTTGTAAGAGGAATGTGTACCCGTTTTTGTGGCACCTCTTTCTTCACTGTGAGTAACTTTGGAAATTAAGGAGTGATATTTAATGCTTATTGTTGCTTTTTGATACTTTTTGTGCTGCATTTTGTTTAGCTTATAGTTTATACATTGTAGCACTTTTAGTCTATTCTTGTTTCTTATTATAGTTTATTTTTTGTGATGTTTCAATATAAACTCTTCTTCCTGGAAGTATAAAGCAAATTGTGAGATAAACTTACCCTTTTGTGGCAGAACCTGTTCATTTCTTTGAAGTTCCAAAATTAGCAAAAAACAGCTAAATAGCTAGATTTCTCTTTGAAGATAATAGGTAGCTGGAATGGAAAGGTAAATGTGATTTAAACATTTAGTGAATTGTGCAACTGTTAGTTTTGCTTCTCTAACTATTTAGTAATTATATCCTTGTGGCCCTGCAGTATATGCTTCACTGTAGATAATAGAATTTATGTTTGGTGGGAATATGAATTGTTTTATGATTATTTTAAAACTATTCCATAAAGTACTATATTAGTCCATTTGGGGTATTTTTTGGATATTAACTGTGCTACTTGATTCAGTGTATTTTTACATAGAATATATCCTACTTTCTTTAGATCTTTCTGGTAAAAGTAGCAGTCTTGACTTACGGCATTGATACAGTTCACTACACTGTGTCAGATATTCAGTGAAATGTGTTGAATGGATGCTGCTTATGTTTCTTTAAATTCTGTTTTATAAAAATACCAAGATTATGGAATAAACATAAAATGGAATAAGAGAATATTTCTTCAAGTTTGAAGCAAAGAACAATATGAAAAACTGGCACTGTATTTACTTGATAGGTTGGATTTCTTATATATATATTCAAAGATTGATATGTTCATTTACATAATACTTTCAAACTAAAAAGGAAAGGGCTGCCTCTAAGGCTATTACTTAGCATGTGTTATGCTTTGGATTCAAAGCTGAAAAGGTGCATTGTGGATGGGCTTACAGAACATATATTCGACTTGATTGTCTGCCTGTGCCCTTCCCAGAGTTTTTTTTAGCCTTCAGAATTGAAGTTTCAGTTGAAGAAATAACTGATATTGTAAAAAAGTAATATTTTCTTTTTCCAAATCTTTAGGTGGGTGATGATAAAACAGTGAAGCAGTGGAAAATGGAGGCACCAGCTTATGGGGAAGCAGAAGAACCAATAAATACCATTCTTGGAAAGGTACTAATTATTAGTTATCTTGTTTTTTTTTCTTAAATTTGTTTTGCAATGTACAAACTTAAAACCCTGATTTTTTTTTCTGTACCTGATTTTTTATTTCCTTTAACAGAAATGAAACAGATTGGTTTAATATGCAGTTGTAAAACTTTCTGGAAGTTCGATTAAGAGAAGAGCCATTGTTTAGCTTTGATTTAATTATTAATTATAGCAGCAGCTATTAAAACCAACTGTAGCTGCTCATTTGGGATTTCTTTTTAACTTGCTGTAAGTTTGCTGAAAGTAGGACCATATAACTAAAACCTGAATCTCTCCAGTTGTTTTGAATTATAGTTGCTATAATATTTTGTTATTAGCCATGTTAGCTCAAATTGATGGGCACTGAAGTTTCTTGTCTGGAAGGCATAGGTTATGCACACAAATCATTCTAATATCTGATTCACTAAAATGCCATAAGTCTGAATTATTTGTGCTATGCTATGTACTGGTAGTATAATGTATACAATTTAAAAATCTTGCAAGGGGGCTTAATATCTATATCCATGATGGTGAACTGATGGCACGCATGACCAAGGTGGCACGCAGAGCCATGTTTCCGGGAACACGAGCTGTCATCCAACTCACCTGCAGCTGCACATGCGCGCATGCCCAGGCTGGTGTTCAGGCCTCTGGTGCGCATGCGTGCAATTCAGGGGACTTAGCTGGTCTTTGGAGCTCTCCTGCGCATGCACGTACATTTGTGCATGTGTGTGAGAGTACTTGCGCACAGCATGGGCATGCATAGACAGCGCAGATGGGGCAATTGCGCGTGCAGTGCATGGGGGGAGCTGCACATAACCTGCAAGCATGCACAGATGGTCTGATTGCACACGCAACGCACAGGGCCATGCACACGAAAGCTGTGCGCATGTGCAGATAGTGCAGTTGCACGCGCAGTGCACGGGGGAGGAGCCACGCATTAGCGCAGATAGCATGCGCATGCACAAAGCGCATGAAGCGCATACCTGTTCGGCACTGGGTGAGTAAAAGATTCACCACCACTGATCTATGCAGTTAATACAATTTTTAAAATGTATATAATATTTTAAAATGTAAGGAAAAAGGCTACTGTACATACTTCTTGGAGCTATGGATAGGTTCAAGAATTAATGAGAGGAATCAACTTCTGTAAACTTCTTTCTGTTCTCAGATGAGCCAGTTGCCATGATGATAGTTAATCTTTTGGATCATAGCTAGTTATAGAAGAAATGGCTTCTGTCATATAGAGACCATTAAAAGAACTATTAACAGATCCTTCACAAAAAATATTTCTTTGCTTAGACTGTTACTAATGTCTTTAATCTAAAATCTTTGACTATTATATCCAGTAATTGGTTATGTTTGTTTTTTATATTTTCCAGACAGTGTACACTGGAATTGATCATCATTGGAAGAAACCTATATTTGCTACTTGTGGTCATCAGATTGATATCTGGGATGAGCAGAGAACTAGTCCTATATGCTCTTTGACTTGGGGAATCGATAGCATAAACAGTGTTAAATTCAATCCAATTGAGGTAATAATTTTATTAGTTTATATATGATGTTAAAATTATTTTCACTAAATAATACTAGCAACATAGATATGGCCATAAACCATGTGGACATTGATGTCTGCCCCAGGAATTAGAGGTAAACCTTCATAAATAAAGCTGAAGGAGAATGAAGAAGTAAAAATGATGATTAGATAAATTCATTTGAATAGAACAGTCTTCAATTGAACAGTTCTTTAATACTATAGTTATGGCCATTATTCAGCAAATGTGGTTTTACATCTTTTTAAAAAAAATAATTGATATTTAAGGAAGAATACAGTTTGGTTTTGCAAGAATAAATCTAACAGCGAAGCTGAATCAATTTTAACTCTTTGGAATCATGGATAGCAAACTACAATAGGATCAAATATTAAGATGCAAATGGTTTTTTTAAATGGTGGGAGAGTAACTTGCTGAATAGCAATAATAACAGTTTGCAGACGCTGAGCTTGTCAATTGAAAGGTCGGCAGTTCAGCGGTTCGAATTCCTAGGGCCGCGTAACGGGGTTAGCTCCCGTTACTTGTTCCAGCTTCTGCCAACCTAGCAGTTCAAAAGCACATAAAAAATGCAAGTAGAAAAATAGGGACCACCTTTGGTGGGAAGGTAACAGTGTTCCGTGTGCCTTTGGCGTTTAGTCATGCTGGCCACATGACCACGGAGACTTCTTTGAACAGCGCTGGCTCTGTAGAAGGTGAATGTCTGCAACAAGACAAGGGAATGGGAGGAGCCCTAGTTTATCACTTTAGCTTGAGAGCAGTGAGGCTTAAAAATAATATGTGCGGATAGAGTTTCATTTGTGAATCCTGCATTTTTTTAGAATCCTGTTCTCCCTGAAGTACTATTCGGGGAATATAAGAAAGCCTGTCCTCTTTACACAAGAACAGTTGAAAAATGGGTGAAGGATTATTGTTGGCAGCATGAGTACTTAGAAAATGTTTGAGTTTAATCCTCCTTACTTGCTCTTTTTTAAGCAACATTTTTTAAAGGTCAGCTGTTTCACACACACGTCTTTGAAAGGTTTACTGATTTAAGGATATAGATGCTAGTTAAAATAGGTCATTTATATATTACATCTCTTTTTGATTAATAATTTCAGTTACATTTAAGAAATTCATTTCCTAAATAATGATATTTAAACAGTCATGCAATTAGAAACAAATTCTAATTCAACTTTCATATTTGACATACAATTATTAAATAATTATTTTCAGATGAATCTTTTGGGAAGCTGTACTTCAGACAGAAATATTGTGCTGTATGATATGAGACAATCAACTGCCCTAAAGAAGGTAATAGATATGCTCTTAAAAATGCCCACTTGCAGGGATGTATATTAATTGTGCTGAATATCATTTCATTTGATATTTGGATAGATTCTGCACTTGCTAGCCATGCCACTGTGCCAGCCGTTTACACACCACTGCACACCCTCCTTGATCTTTGCCTCACTTCCCATGCGCACCCTACCCAACAATCAGCACACCTCCCTTGCATCCTCCTTGAGCCTTACTGCATTGTGTGCAATTCATTGTGCTTTCCTCGCATCCTTGTCATCTCCCTGAGACTCATTGTATCTTTCTCAGTTCCTCCCCCTCCAGCAGCAGCCAATTGCTGGGCTCCTGCTGGCTTCCACATTTGGAATTATGCTTTATAGTCACATCACTTAGCACAGAAATTCCAATCTTAATTGCCATTGTAAGTTGAGGACTACCTGTAATTATTTTATTATGCTGGATCTTTTTATTTATCTGAGTTTTATGATGTATCTGGTGGATAAGGTGATCCTTGATGCTTTCACCAACATGAGAGGTTAGAATAGAATAGAATAACAGAGTTGGAACGGACCTTGGAGGTCTTTTAGTCCAACCCCTGCTTAGGCAGGAAATCCTACACCACTTCAGACAAATGGTTATCTAATTTCTTCTTAAAAACTTCCAGTGTTGGAGCATTTACAACTCCTGGAGGCAAGTTGTTCCACTGATTAATTGTTCTAACTGTCAGGAAATTTCTCCATAGTTCTAAGTTGCTTCTCTCCTTTATTAGTTTCCATCCATTGTTTCTTGTTCTACCCTCAAGTGCTTTGGAGAATAGTTTGAGTCCCTCTTCTTTGTGGCAACCCCTGAGATATCGGAACACTGCTATCATGTCACCCCTAGTCCTTCTTTTCATAAGACTAGACACATCCAGTTCCAGCAACCGTTTTTTATACGTTTTACCCTTGAGTCCCCTATTATCTTTGTTGCTCTTCTCTGCACTCTTTCTAGAGTCTTAACATCTTTTTTACATCGTGGCGACCAAAATTGGATGCAGTATTTATTTATCTATCTATCTATCTATCTATCTATCTATCTATCTATCTATCTATTGGTTCGATTTATATGCCATCCTTCTCCGGAGACTCAGGGCGGCTTACAATGTGTTAAGCAATAGCCTTCATACTTTTGTATATACCTGCTTAGTAGGGCTTTCGGCCCCCACGAAGCAGTGTTCTTTTTTATACAAAATCAGCTTATTGCCCCCACAAACCGGGTCCCCATTTTAACTACCTTGAAAGGATGGAAGGCTGAGTCAACCTTGAGCCTGGTGAGATTTGAACTTGCAGTAATTGCAGGCAGCTGGTTTAACAGCACTTTAGTCTGCTGCGCCACCAAGGCTCTTAATTCCAAGTGTGGCCTTACCAAGATATTATAAAGTAGTATTAACACTTCACGTGATCTTGATTCCATTCCTCTGTTTATGCAGTCTAGAACTGTGTTGGCTTTTTTGGCAGCTGCAGCACATTGTTGGCTCATATTTAAGTGATTGTCCACTAGGACTCCAAGATTCCTCTCACAGTCACCGCTATTGAGCAAGGTACCACATATACTGTACCTGTGCATTTTGTTTTTCTTGCCTAAATGTAGAACCTTACTTTTTTCACCATTGAATTTCATTTTGTTAGCGCCCAATTTTCAAGTCTGTCAAGATCTTTCTGTATCTTAAGCCTATCTTCCGGAGTGTTGGCTATTTCTGCTAGCTTAGTGTCATCTGCAAATGAGTTCCCCATCTATCCCCTCGTCGAAATCATTGATGAATATGTTGAAAAGTACTGGGCCTAAAATAGAGCCTTGGGGTACCCCACTGCATACCTCCCTCCATGTAGAAGTAATTCCATTGAGGACTATAAGTTGAGTGCGGTTGGTCAGCCAGTTACAAATGGTGATGCTCTCTAACTCACATTTTTCTGTTTTATCAAGTAGTAAGTTATGGTCTACTTTGTCAAATGCCTTACTGAAGTCCAAGTAAATTATATCGACAGCATTCCTCTGGTCCACTTGTTTTGTCACTTTGTCAAAGAATGCAATAAGATTAGTCTGGCATGATCTGTTTTTGATAAATCCATGTTGGCTTTTGGTCATTACTTTGTTTGCATCTAGGTGTTCGCTGATTCGTTGCTTGATATCTTTTCCAGAATCTTCCCTGGTATTAAAGTCAGGCTGATAGGTCTGCAATTTCCTGGATCTATTTTTTTTTTCCTTTTTTGAATATGGGAACTACATCAGCTCTTTTCTAGTTCTCTGGCAGTTGCCCGGTGCTCCAGGATCTTTGAAATATATAGTTCAGTAGTTCTGAGATCACATCTGCCAGTTTCTTCAGAACCTTGGGGTATAATCCATCTGGTCCTGGTGATTTGAACTTGTCTAGAGTAGATAGGTTTTCACTTACCATTTTCTTCTCTATTTTAATTTGTGTTTCTAATCTGTTTATTGTGGTGCTGTTTTTGACAGGTTGGACTGTTTTTTCCCTTTGTGTAAAGGCAGATGCAAAAAATGAGTTAAGTATTTCTGCTTTCTCCCTGTTGCTTGTCACCTTCTTACTACTTTCTCCCAGCAATGGGAGAAACTTGACTTTTTTCTTGTTTTTAACATGTTGGAAGAAGCTTTTTTTGTTATTTTTTACTTTTGTCACAAGCCTTTGTTCGTTGTGAGCCTTAGCTTTCCTCACTTCATCTTTGCAGGCTTGGGCTATTTGCTGATATTTTGCTTTAGTTATGTGCCCCTCTTTCCACTTTTTATACTTGTCCTTTTTGTCATTCAATTTGTCAGAGAGTTCTTTATGCAGCCATGCTGGTTTCTTTTGAGAGCTGTTATTTTTCTTTTTCATTGGTATTGTGCTAGACTGGGCTTTTATAATCTTATTTTTCAAAATTTCCCAAGCTTCTTGAGTTGTTTTCCCCTTGAGGATTCTCATCCATGGAATTCTTCTCAAGCTCCTTTTAAGTTTATTGAAATTAGCTCTCTTAAAGTCCAAGACTCTAGTTTGACTTTGTTCTATTGCTTGTGCTTGCATAATGTTGAATTCCAATATTGCATGATCGCTCCCACCAAGATTCCTGTAGCTTAAACACCTTCTATCATTTCATCTCTGTTAGTGAGAATTAAGTTCAATATGGCTGATCCCCTTGTTCCCTTCTCTACTTTTTGGGAAACAAAGTTGTCTGCTAGGTTTGTCAGGAACCTGTTTGATCTTCCACCTGGTCCAGAGTTTGTCTCCCAGTTGATGTCAGGATAGTTAAAATCCCCCATTACTATTGTGGTGTGCTTCCTAAATACTTTAGTTAAAGCAAAAAGTTCATCTATTTCCTTGGTTTGGTTGGGTGGCCTATAGTATACACATATGGCAATGTCATCCCCCCCCCCATTGCATTGACCCAAATGCATTCCAGGCAGTTTTCATCACTGTTGTGCTCTATTTCTGTAGCGATGTAGTTATTTCTTATATATAGTGCAACTCCACCTCCTCTTTTATTTGGTCTATTTCTTTTAAATAATTTAAATCCCTCTAGCTGCACGTTCCATTTGTGGGTTTCATCCCATCAAGTTTCCGTAATGGCAACAATATCATATCTGCCCTCATTTACTTGAATTTCTAATTCACCCTGTTTATTCCTCATACCCTGTGCATTGGTGTATAGACATTTGAGTCCATTTTGACTGACCCTGTGTTTACTGTCTACATAACCTGTGTTGTCCCCTACTGCCTTACCACCTGTTTGATTAGTACACATGGTATGGCACTCGCTATTAAATGTTTGTTTTGCTTGACAGCAAGGTTGATATTCTTACCTGCCTTAACATCTATGTTACATGCACTGATAACCCTATTAATTTTAGATTGCTGGGGACAGAAATGTTCTGTATTAATTAATTCTCTGTCCCTGCTGCTCAGTTTAAATGTTTATCTAGAAAATCTGTTAATTTAATGCCAAGTAACTCAGTCCCTTTCTTTGAAAGATGCAAACGATCTCTTTTGTACAGTTTTTCATTGGACTAGGTGCAGATATCATGACTAATATAATCAAAGTCTTCCCTTTTACACAATTCCTTTAGCCACACATTAAACTCCACGCTGGCCTTTTTCTTTTTGTTCCTTATATACTGGTAAAACCTCTGAAAAGGTAAGCCTACAGCCTATACTACTAAGTTCGTACCCCAAGCTCTGGAAATCATTCTGCACAGAAAGTACATCTTTTTGGGACAGATCATTTGTGCCAAGATGTATAATAGCATCAACATCACAGTTCTTACAGGCAGTTGTATAGATTGCACAGTTCTTTAACCGGTATCAGTGCATTTGCTTAATGTTTATTTGTTTATTTGGTTTCTATCCTGCCTTTGGTCAATTCAAGATGGCATATTTAACTAATGTTCCTGCCTATTTTTTCTGCAACAACACTGTGTAAGGTGGTTGGCCTGAGAAAGAACAACTAACTCAGAGTAATAATTGTTATATATACAGTATTTTATAGATACATTTGTATTGTAATACAATTTATTTGTAATGTATAGTTTATTGTGATAAACAGTATATGTCTATTGATAGTTTTTCCTACTTTATAATATTCAAATTTTCTCAGGTTATTTTGGATATGAGAACAAATACACTTTGCTGGAATCCTATGGAAGCTTTCATTTTTACTGCAGCAAATGAGGATTACAAGTAAGAAATACTGATTTTGCTTGCTCTCACTTTTGACTGCTTTAGATATTCAGAAGGTGTGTAAAAGCTGACACATTAATGAATAATATTTTTAATTTGCTCCATAATAAATGTTTTCTTGAGGGTTTATGTTAAAAAGAGAATATAAGCACAGTGCAATCTGATTGATTAGGAAATTGTTTCTATTAAAATACTACGACATTTTAAACTTTAGCTGGAGTCTGAGGAATTATTTCCAATATTTTATACTCTTTGCTGAATGCAGATACTTGATATTGTTAGCAACAAATTGGAATTTAAAAATTGATATAATTAGAAATGTACATTACAGTTACAAATAAAATATTTAAATGGAAGCAGTACAAGAACAAACATCAATGGAATGGATTTACCAACAGGTATATCTCTGACAATACCAATTTTGAGAGGATATTAAATTCAGAAAAACTCTACTCAGTAATCAGTTATTTTCAAAATAAAAAACACACTGTATCCACACTTTGTCTCAGGGTGGATAAAAATCAATTTTTTTTAAAAAAATTAAAGATCGGATTTTTTTATTTAATTGGATTTTTTTTATTTTTATCAAATTTATTTTAATAAAATGCTTTTGGAATAAAAATCTATCTAAAGATAGTTTTCTATTTAAGATACATTAATAATTTAGTTTATTCAGCATGAAATGGAGCTTAGCAGTGGAGGTATTCAGCCGGTTTGGACTGGTTCTGGAGAACCGGTAGTGGTGACCTACGGGTGACCCCCCATCCCGGCGCTATGCCATCCTATTTAGCCACGTTTTCTAAGCCATGCGTATGCGTGTAAGTCGCGCACGCTCACATTTTCGGTGCACGGTGAACTGGTGGTAAAATTATGTGAAACCCACTTCTGGAGCTTAGTAATGTAGCATGAGGCTGTATATTCTGCAATATTGGGATTGTTGGTGAGTCAACAGCAGGTCAGAGTAGGAGCTGCTGCGGGATAGAGATGACAGTTGCTCTTTAAAAATTATGATTTAAATCGAATTGTTTTAAATCAACCTTTTTACTAGTGATTTAAATCATGATTTAAATCGACTTGATTTAAATCGACTTGATTTAAATCAAATCCACCCTGCTTTGTCTCCCTTGCCTTTTGTGTACCCTTCCTGACCCAAGTGATGCCAATTGCATCACTCCTGACTCATGCAGTGCCTCTTGTGCATCCCCCCCCCCTTTCCCTCTCTGATCTTTGCACATCTTCCCCAACCAGTGCTGTGCCTGTTTCACATTGAGGACTATCTGTATTCAGAAACAGTCCATATATAAGGTTTCACATGTCGCACTGCCTCAGATACTTAAGTATGTGAGTTAAACAATCTATTTTATATTCTAAATTCTCTGCTGTAATGAACTCTATTTTTTTTCTAAGTTGGCTATGTATCAGGATTCCACATAAGCTGAAAACTCAATTGCATTTGGGAAAGAGAATTGTGTCCTTTTATTTAAGTAGGCAAGCTCAACTTTACTTCAAGCTGAGTTACTTCATAGGCATAGTTCTTGCCAACAAATGATTTATCTCTGTCTTCCAGAATGCGTTTTTATCTTCTCAATCTAATTTTGGGATTTCCTAAAATGGGAAACTACAAGTTAATAGCTAACTAGATCCAGCCATGCTCAGCTTTTTGAGGTCAACGAAAAACAGCTGAGTGCTGCCACTTTGCTGGGTTCTATTCAAGCAGAATGTGAGAAATGCTAATAAAGTTCCCTATTCTAATTCCAAAATATGTGGTCCTCTATCAAAGCAGATAGAATTTCTTCTATTCCTCATGCTTACTTGAATGTCAGTGACATATTTCTGAACAAATTTAGGAGTTAGTCCAAAATCTAGCAGAATAGGTGAATTTAAGGCAGTTTAGATTTGATCATTATTCTGCTCACTTGCTTTTAATATGGAAGTGGCAGTATTCTCAGATTCCCAGATCATTTACCAGTCAGTCCTAAATCAAGAACATTTTCATGATAACTTAAATATATTTTCCCAAACAGATTTCAGCTATTTTTTTTAAAAAATATTTTTTTGATGAGGACTAGAGGCACTGTTCTGATAAGTGTCTGATATTCATAGACACTGGGTGGTAAACCTCTACTTTACCAAAGCATTTGAACAAACAATTATAAAGTAAGTAGAAGTAATACTTTTACCTTTTTTCCTTCTTGCAGCTTATATACTTTTGATATGCGATTCCTTGGCAAGGCTTTAATGGTTCATATGGACCACGTGTCTGCAGTCCTGGATGTGGATTACTCCCCTACAGGAAAAGAATTTGTGTCTGCCAGCTTTGATAAATCTATTCGCATTTTTCCTGCAGATAAAGGTCATAGCAGGTCAGTGAATTTTTTTATAATAATTACACTTCTGGAGTTCCTCCTTTGCTACCAGTCTTAAATCTCTCAATTTGTTTTTAATATATTGAATATCTTGTAAAGATATAGCAATAGTTCTCAAGACTTATATACCGCTTCATAGTGCTTTACAGCCATCTCTAAGCTGTTTACAGAGTCAGTATATTGCACCAAACAATCATTTTACTGATCTCGGAAGGATGAAAGGGCGTCTCAACCTTGAGCCGGTGAGAATTGAACTGCCAAACTGCTGGCAGCTGGCAGTCAGCAGAATTAGCCTGTAATACTGCATTCTAACCACTGTGGCACCACAGTTCCTAGTTTATAGTTATATTAAGCTTTGAAATTTTACTGGTGCATTTCAATGTTTTGTTCTGCTATTCATTGATACTGTTATAAAAATAGGCTAAAATGTTTTGGGGTTCAAAAATCTTCTGATTTGTTTCATGTGTCTAACACAGAGTGCACTTGCTTAGGACAAAATCCAGCAATGAAGATGAATTGGTGTTTTACTCAGGATTTTTTGTTTTTTTTCTAGCATGATTCCAACTATGCCATATAAATTGCCAGTCAAGAAAGTTAAGCTATTGTTAAGTGCAATTTAACTAAGTGGAGGGATTTAGATGCTGACTGCTGAAATGGGCACTAAGATCAATTTCATCTCTGGATGAAATAGAAAATATGGTTTGCTTATTGAAAGGGTTACATGCTGATGGATCAGCAGCACAGTTTGCGCAAAGTTGTAATGGATGTGAAGATTGAATACAGATTTCTCCACAAGACTTTCAAGCTGTCATCTGTAGTTTTGCATGCTTTTGCAATTAGTGCTGTTGGCATGATTGCTGCAGCAGGTTTTATGATATATATGCTTAGGGCACAGGAAATCTCATAAAGAAGACTCACATTCATCGTACGATTTTGCATTAATATTTTAATATTATTAAAATATTATAATATTTAAAATAGTTTATATCAGCTGGCTTCTAGAATCTAGATCAGAAACAACAAGAAAAAAAATCGGAAGCAGTTACACTAATTTCTTTCTTAAAATGTTTTGAGATGTCTTTTACAGTTAATTTCAGCTTGGGAATAAGTAAAGCTTCTAAAGAATTCTTCAATATGCTTATATCCATACTCTCATTTGGGAAAGAGTTCTTGAAATTTTTCAAGGCTTTACTATGTTTTTAACAATATCCCTTCAAAAGCTTTGGGTCTCATAAATATGCATAACTCTATACATAGCAAAAGCACATTAAATTTATGGACTTAATTATATAGGTTTTTATCACGGCGCTCTTGCCCCAGATGTCAGGGCTTATTTTATGTTCCTAATTAAACTCTGAATGTGAAACTTTAGAAGTCAGAAGAAACAAGACATACTTTGTTTATTAATTTTATTAAGAGCTTTTGGTAAATGAGGCAGATGTTTGAGTGATTAAATGAAAGAATCGGCTTATTCATCCCTACGATATTCTATTACAGGTGTCTTCTATGAGTAATTAGTTTTCAAAACCTGTTACGAGAACAAAATGTTTTTTTAAAAAAGAGGAATAGTTGCTTCTGCTAGATCAGTTCCAACAATTTTTAAAAAATTTCTTATAACACTTACGTGGCTGCCTCTTTTAAAGCCTGGATGGCTCACAACCCGAGGATGAACAATATATAACCACAGTAATATAAAAAAGAGTAAAAGAAAGAAACCTGGCACCATAACTAAACTTTCTGAAGCAGCCCACAGTATGTGTGTCCCATGCCAAGCACACTCTATCTGAGTGCTTAAGAAAAAGTGCTTTTCAAGTTTAAAGGGTAGGGGCTATTGGAATTCAGAGAGAAGAATGCTGCATAGGGCAGTGGTTGCCATGGAAAATGCACTCGTCCTGGGTCCTATAAGATGGCAGCATTTAAAGGAAGGGACCTGGAATGTCCTTCCCCTACCTGAAATGAAAGGATGGGCTTATGTCCTCAGGGAAAGGTGCTCCTGCAAATAACCTGGTTCCATGCTATAAACAAGTAGTTCTCACTTAATGACCCTAATCAAGACTGGCCGCTTCATCACTAAGCAATATGGCTGTGAAGTGAAATGTCACATGACTTTTCCGATGAGCAATGGCAGTTCCAGCGCTTCCAGTAGCTATTATTGAGTGAATCCCACATTGTTGTTAGGTGAGGACTCACCTGGATCCAAGCTACACTTGGAAGAAAGGAAGTAACTATTCCATTTCAACTCATCTCCATCTACCTATCTCTCTCCCCCCCCCATCTTGCCCTTTAGGCTGCCTGCTTGTCTTCTATTGCCAGCTGTCCCTCTTGCTTGCCCCTGCACCATGGGCCACTATAAACTGGGGTCATCTTTTGTGCCGTTGTAGCCTTCTTTCAGACCAGTCTTCTTTTGCTGGCCGACCAAGGCCTTCTTTCATAAGGCAGCCAGGTCCTTCTGTTGCACTGGGGTTTTTGCACACCAAACAAGTCCTTCTTTCATGAAAGGAGGCCCCAGTCTATATTCGTGCATAGTGTGGTACATACCCGCCCGCAGCTCTCACCCACTGACCTGTGGGAGATTTCCATGGCACCTCCCCCATGCATGACCAGGATGGTGAGCTGAGTTGGGGCAGGCAAAGGATGAGGAAGATCAATTGGGCATTTGGCACAGAGGCAGGGGTCTACCTGTAGAGCTTTTAAATGTAATAACTAGTACCTGTTATAACTAGTACTAGTAATAACCGGAGCCAATGCACTTCACACAACAGGGGTGTAACATGGCAAACCTAGTGTGCAACACTGCGTGCTGCCGCATCCCAGACCAATGGTAGCTTCTAGGTGGTTTTCCATGGTAGCCCCATGTAGTAATTGCAGTAATCCAGATTGGAAGTGACCAGTTTGTGAATGACCATGAACATCCTTGGCCCAAAATCTATAAGGAATTCCAAACTTGGGACACTAAAAATTGTACTAAGATCATAAGAAAATTGGATACTAATTTCTTACTTGAGGAAGTAATGACTGTTATAAAATATATCATTTGTTTAATATTAAGAGGGCATCCTTGAAGTGAGGCTTTTAATGGGTTGTATATATGAAAGTTGAAAATGTTATGGAATGGTTATGCTCATACTCAACATAGCTGTCATAATCAATATAATTGATTATTATTAGTGGCCCACCTATTGATATCTATTATTTTGACTTTTTAACTTCCAGGTATTTGTCTGATAATAGAGATCAGTATAATCAGTTAATTTTTAGAAATATTAGGATTGCATAGCTCTTGAGATAAATCTGTAAGAAGTGCTTGCTATCGCAAATGTAGCATCTTTCATGTGCTACTTTTATGCTCCTGCACCATTCCAAGCACATTGGAGCTGAATCCAAGAACCTGCACAACCCTGTAAAAATACCATAAAATATTTCTAATAAAAATGAAAGCAAACTAATTTCTATTCTTAGGGAGATTTATCACACAAAGAGAATGCAACATGTCATCACTGTCAAATGGACATCAGACAATAAATACATTTTGTGTGGCTCTGATGAAATGAACATTCGTTTGTGGAAAGCAAATGCTTCTGAAAAGCTGGGTGTGGTAAGTAACCACAAATTCATTGTTAGACTTAAAGCACTTATTCCTTTTAGACAGGCAAAAAGCACTTGGTTGTTAACCTTAAATCTTGGTAATAACTATAATTCATTGTAATTATTTTTATCTTAAACAAGAAAGTCTGTTTGGGCTAATGGTTAAAGCACCAGGAGAAAACCAGGCGTTTGCAGAAAACCAGGAAATTGCAAGTTTTACTTCCACTTTAGGAATGAAAGCCAACTGAGTGACTTTGGGTCAAGCATAGTTCCATCTCATCTAAGAGTGCCAGTACTGTGTATTTGCTGCTACTTTAGAGTGGTTGTGGCCTTGTAATGTTCTGATTTTGTTTAGGTTGTAGATCTTAAGGGTATGGACAGTATTGTGGAGAAACAAAAGCAGTTGATTGCCTTCTTGATCCTTGCCTTTCTTGGCTGATCAAATAGCAAGTCTGGAATTGGCTTCTTGGTTAAAAGCAGAGTGATTTGTACCTCCTTGAGCATAGAATGTGTTCCTGTGTTCCTAAAAGAGGCAGTCCTAAAAGTACTTGTTAAGAGGCCTCCCCTGACCCAATAATATAGTAATATAGACCCAATTCAGATATTTCATTTTCTGGACAAAATGATTAAAAGACAATGATAAGTTGGCTTCCCGGCTCCATATGCACCTGGATGAAGCTGATTTACTGGTTCCATTTCAGCCAAGAATTTGTCCAAAATATGGTAGTCTTCACTATGACTGTTCACTTAAGAATGGTTCCAAGTTATAATGGCTTCAGAAAAGGTGATTTATGATATGCCTTTGAAGTTATGACTGTCACAACACTCCAATTGTCACATGATCCCAATTTGGGTACTTGGCAGCTGCTTCAGATTTGTGATGCTTACAGCATCCTGCAGTCATAAGACCATAAAGTACCCTTCCTGAGGCTGTCATAACTTCAAATGGCTGTTAAATAACCAGTCATATATCCGGGATTACCTGTAAACACAATCTGTTGAATTTTGGAGAGTTGTGTGACATTTTAATTTATTATCTTTACAAATTGTCTAGAATTTTTATAATATTGGCAGCATATAAATAATGGAAATAAATAAAAGCTGATAATAAAATGTTGCAATACTGAAGTGCTGCCTTGCTAATTCCAAGCCCTAGTTAAAATGGGCTTGTCTGGGTTTACAAATTTGGTCACTGATTGTTTAAGAGCTTACTTTTACTCTTCTATATGCTTCATTTCATAATTAGAATGAGCAGCATCAAGCCAGACATGCTGTGAATATTTTTAAAAAGGCTAATTCCTTTGAAAGAAATAGGGTTGTGTCAGCTACCATTTTAATGTAATTGCCTTTAATTAAATTGAAAACCTCTTAATTTGGATTGTATTGACATTTTGCACAATAGAGATGATTGAAATGTACTGCTGACTAAGCAAAAGAAATGAAATACGATGGGTGGTGGAAAATACCTCCTACAGCTAATAAAGGTTAATGTGTAGTCTGTCTCTGTAAATGAGCAGTTTTGAAAAAGAATTATAGTTCTTCTGCTTGAGAGCTAGGGTAAATCCAGTTGGACTTTGAGGTATATTCTGCATCATTCTGATGATCAAAATAAGGACTGTTTCTCATTTAACCTGGTTAAATCATCAGGGATTTATCAACCAGTCTTAGCAGAATGAAATAGATTGCCTTTTAATTGAATTTATTGGTGTGCTTTCTATTGGAATAAAGATGATCAGAGATGTATGACTCTAAGAGATTTTCCCAGTTAAAATCAATTTCTTTGGTTTCAGTATAAATTTAGAACTAATCTTCCTTCCTTTCTTCCTTTCCTTTTTCCCTCTCCCTCTCTCCCTCCCATCAGTGTCCAATTTAAGATTTATTTGTCAAATATTACTTTGTGCTATTTTTTGAGATCTTGCAGTTCCATGCCTTCCCCACTATATAGAAGGTAACAAGATTTTGTGAAATATTCATAAATATTTCTCATAAATATCACACTCATAAATCTGTTCTGGTATTGTGGAATTCATCATTGTTAAATATATGTTTTAAGATTACGATTTTTTCCCTAGCTTGCTCCTCGAGAGAGAGCTGCTATTAACTATAATCAGAAATTGAAAGAAAAATTCCAGCACCATCCCCAGATCAAACGTATAAATCGCCATCGTCACTTACCAAAGATGATTTATAGCCAAGCCAAAGAGCTACGCATCATGAAAGAAGCTCGTCGACGAAAGTATGTTTTATTTAATTTTTAAAAAATTAAATGTATTCTATTATTCTTTTCATTTGTCTATTTACTTTTGTATGGCTATGGAATTCTCTAGAGAGACTTTGGAGTCTTTTCCAGTTGATTATAAGACTAATCTGACAGTAACATGCTTTGATTTATTAGATGTGTTTCTAAAGTATAGGACGTTGGATTGGACAATACATTGTTTCCTTTCCAAGCTTAATTCCATAATAACATGTATTTGCTGAAACAATTAGTTGGAGTATCTAAGTCAGTAGGATAGAAATAATTAGCTTGGCCATGTTGAAGGAATTAGAAGGGGATGACAATGGATAATGAAGGGGAATAGGATAAGAGTCATTACTGGAATGTCCTGGAAGAAATATTATGAGAGACAGATTGAGATGGTCAGCACTTGTCCATGCAATCATCAGAATTGAAATCTGATTTGATGGTATCTGTGTAAGTATCTAATAGCTAACTTAGTCTCCAAATAGAGTTGCTGGTTTTTTTTTTAGGCTACCTATCATCCTATTAATTAAATTGAGGTGAGAAGGACAGCAAAAAAGAGAATGCACTCCTTGAGCTCTTGTTCTGATACAGCAGAAATTACTGCTGTTCAGGAAGCAGTAGATGCCATACTATCTTTTTTTATTACCTGAATAGAATTCATCTGTTAATTTAATCATCTTTTGTACAAATGGGAGATGATATTATCTTTGAACAAGATCTATATTAGGCCAGTGTACAGCATGTATAGGAGAATATTGACTAATTTTCCAAATTTTATTTTTATTTTAATTGAATCTGCCCTGAAAGAGTGTCTCAAAATTTATTTCTTTTCCAGGATCATAATCCAGTGTCCAATATATTGTATTCCAAATATAATCATACATTCTGATATATGAATATTTGTTATGTCGTAGTAACTTTATTTTCTAAGCAATGAAACCTATAAATATATTTTAATCTCTCTTTCCAGGGAAGTGAACCGTCGTAAACATAGCAAGCCTGGATCTGTACCACTTGTGTCAGAAAAGCAGAAACACATTATGGCTGTAGTAAAATAATCATATATAAAATTACTAGGGATACTAAATTCCTATGGACATGTTTTATATGTGAGATATATTTCTTTGTTACAAGATATAATGTAATGCTTTTTGATATTATGAAAATAATAAATTGAGACTGTAGTTGCTATAGTGTGGCTAATTGTGGTATCTTTATTGTATTTATTTTGCTGCATTCCTTGTAAAGAGCGAGAGTGAAAGTATCTTGAAAAGTACATGCAAATACTGCATACTAGAGGAGACAGAACTAACTCAGAGTGTTGCAATAAGTTTTCCAAAATGTTAAGTTGTAGTGCCTTAAAAGAATATGAATAAAAGTTTTCTTATTGGCAAACTTGCTTCCCAAATATTTGGGTACCGTTTAATAAAAAACCCCACCTGCATCAAGTCCCCTTTCTATTGTAAGCTACGTCTATTGTAAGTATGTGTCCTGATTCAGCCTACCACAAGTAGTCCTTAACTTATAACCACAACTGAGCCCAAAATTTCTGTTGGTAAGCAAGACATTTGTTAAGTGAATTTGACCACATTTCACAACCTTTTTGCCACAGTTGTTAAGTGAATCACTGCAACTGTTAAGTTAGTAACATGGTGGTTAAATGAATCTGGCTTCCCCCTTGACTTGCTGTCAGAAAGTTACAAAAGGTTACACATTTTACACTGCAACCCTCATAAATACATGCCAGTTGCCAAACATCTGAATTTGGATCATGAGATTCTGGGTATGCTGCAATGGGCATAACTGAAAAACATACATCACTTTTTTCAGTGTCACTGTAACTTTGAACAGTCATTAAACGAATGGTTTTAAGTTGAGGACTATCTGTATTTTTATTTTGTGTATATGTAAATAAAACTTCAGTTGAATAGAAATGTATGCCTGCCTATATGTAAAATGGGAATAATTATTAATATTTTGAATATGATTATTGCCAATATTTTATTTTAACTTGATCCATATAGTTTGTTTATTGCACAATACTGACACAATATTGGCACAATATAACACATTCTCTAAAGTTTAAGAGGTTAAGCAGGGTCTTAATTTTTGGCTGTATTATTTTCAGTAATAACATTGAAATATGTTAAGTATACACCAGTTATAGAATATTAATATTTTTATACTGCCTTTTTATATATAACTGGATCAAATCATTCACCTAATATAGTCATGAAAATACTGTATTCAGAGATTGGCATGCTATTCCTTTCTATGAGTTATTCCAGATTCCATCCTGAGTTATAAACCTTGCTCAAGCCAGAGATTTTGTACAAAACTTTCTATATCCAGAGTTGGCCATCTAAAATCAAACATTATTCTTTGGGTTAACATGCAATTAAAGTTTCAAATAATTTGTCTTATGTAACAGGTATCACCGTTTTCTTGCTTATCATCTGGAAAACAGCTGTTTCTTTGAACTTCAAATTTGTTATGTAAACTTTAGCAAATTATTTAATCCTATATTAACTGCATATTTTTATTTTTTATTTATTTTTATTAAACATTACTAAGGTAAGCTAAACTATAAAAGTAAAAAAACCAAATGCAAAGAAGAATAGGAAAGAAATCTACATATATATTAAAATGATTAGATATTAAATACAATTTTATTTAAAATATTAAATACAATTGTATATGTGTGTATATTCCAAAACTTTTGTAAAGTATATAACAAAAACTAAGGTGTTATTAAACAACTGTGAAACAATTTGGAAAGCTTATAATACTTAAAGTAATATATAAAGTTCATGTATTTAAGATTATATGATGCATATAGAAAATTATATAGAAAAAAATAATTTTATAGTCATATTCTGGTGAAATTACGTAACTTAACCACCACATATAGACTATATATTGTATAGTCAGATACATTAATTGGGGAATACAATTTGTTCAAAATAAATAGAAGTTCAAGAAACAAGAAGCGGCACTGTGTATTAAAACATACACACCTATTCAAAAATTCAAGCTGAAGAATGTTGATACAGATTATATTTTCCAAAAATGAAGTGTAAATCTTTCGAACAGGATTTCAATTAGTCCAATTTTTATGGAAGAAAAACTCTTGCCAAGCATGGTTCTTCCAGCAAATTCCTAACCTGCCCTTTTGAGATTTTTTTCTTCGGAGGGTGGATGATGAATCCTACATTACAACTCTGTAATGTAATGTAGTATCAGCTCTGCTTCCTAATACTTGTCTGTAACATTGTGATAAAAATATCTAAGTCCAGAGCTGGCACTGATGCATGTTTTATCATTTTGATGTCATCCAATGGAAGTGAAACCAGCTTTTTTTCATCTGTAAAAATATTTCTGCATTAAGGATGCGGGATTAACAAACATTTACAAGCAAGATTTGGCTTTATCTTTGGGTATAAAAAGCTAACATTTTGATTAATTAAAAGCACAGCCAAGCTATCAGGTCAAAATGAATTGGTGAAAAAGTTTCTTAATTGTGTAGTTTATGTACAATGGCATACCTTGTTAGCCTTCAGTTTTGATACATTATAGACTTTTGTATCAACTTAGTTTCAGAGTTGCAGCCTTCAATGTAACAAGCTAGATTTCATGCATCACTCAAGGTTTTAATGTTGAGTTCTTCAGCTAGAGTAGAGACAAATCAGATTCATGGACAAAAGAGCACAATCTATACTTAAGCTCTCCAGGGCTGTGAGTTGTCTCATAACTTGATTTTGACTAGTGCACACATTCATGTTTTAAGGCCAAATACCCCAAGAATTCCATATGGATTATGTGCCATCAAGTCATTGTGTGTCTTAATGACCCTATTTAGATCAGGGTACCCAAATTACCAGGGATACCTCCCTTCGAGAGGTACACAGAGTCCAGGCGTGAAGAACCTTTCAGTTGTACATTGTTACAATAAATCAACCTTTCAAAAAATAACTAGTTTCAGGTGAGTGATATCGTAGTGGAGAAGGCACAACCTTTGCTATTTTATTTTTCTTGTCTTTATTAAAAATAAAATTGCATTGTATAGTATTCATTGTTCATTTGGTGTTTGCACAGTTAGGGAAGAGGGGTGTATATAAAGATTACACTAAAGGAAGGTATGATGGCAAAAAGTTTTAGGAACTCCTGACATAGTTTTAATTCACAACTATCTATCCTTACACTAGTCTTTCAATTCTCACATTGTAGTTACTACTAGTAGTTGCATTCTAGTTACTACTGTATAACTGAGGCCATCTCGGTTGCTGCTAATCATCATCATCTTTTTCCTTCCACTTGTCCCAGCATCTGAACCTCTTCTATAGAGAGCCAGATTTATCCAAACGAATCTCCCAAAGCAACCGATGCTGCTTTATATAATCCTAAAGGCAGATTACGCTCCTTCACCGACCCCTTTTTTGTACCTATCTCCAGGCCAACTAGCAGCTGCTTCCTCCTGCTCCCCGTTAGCCGTCTCCCCGCTTTAGTCCGTCCAAGTGCCCGTAAAGGTAAACGTGGCAGAGCGCTTAAGCAACTGAGAGGGGCGGCGGCTCCAGCCAGGTCAAGCTTTGGAGAGCCTCCGAAGCGATTTGCACCTCCCGCTCCCGGCCCAGCCTCACCCGTAACCCCCAATTCCCAACCCCGTCACCCCCCCCCCACACACCCTCTCCCTCGCTTCCATCTTGGTCATCCTGCACGGCCGCAGCGCCGCCTCTTTCTCTCACCGACTCCCCCGCCGCTCCTGCTCGGCCGATCTTCGATGCTCGTCACTGAGCGCCTCGGCTCCTCCCCCCCCCCCCCGCCCGCCTCCCGTGGGCGTTCGCCCCCCCCCCCCCCCCCCCTCTTCACGCCCTCACGCCAGGCCTGCCCGCGACGCGTCGCTGCCGGGCGCCCCCTCTGGCGGCTAGTGGAATCGGCTTCGCCCTTTTCCGTCTCTCCCTCCCTCCCCCTCCTTCCCGCGCCTCGGGACGACGAGGCAGAAACGTGGTTGGCGGTGGCGGTGGCGGTGGCGGGGAGGGGAGGGGAGGCGCGCGGGAGCTGCGACGGCAACGGCGGGCGGGGACGGAGGGAGGGAGGGAGAGGAGGAAGGCGAGGAGCGGCGCCTCCCCGCGATTCCCGCGTTAATCCGCGCCCCGTCCCCGTTCCGCTCCGCGATGCGATGGGTTAGGCGAGCGGCCAGCGACAGCAGCAGCAGCAGCAGCGCAGCCGAGAGAGGAGCCGCCGAGCGAAGCAGCCACGAGGGGCGGCCGCGGCGGCAGGGCCTGGCCGAGGAGCGGTGTGGGTGGGGGCGGCGGAATAAACGGCCGCTAGGGGCGGCGGCGGCGGCGGCAACAACGGCGGCGCGGTAGGGAAAAGCCTCCGGCTGGAACTGCGTTGCCCCTCGCTCCTTTCCATGGACAGCGGGCTGGAATTATGAGCCGGCTGGAGCTGCTGGCGGCCGGGACTTGCCCTCCCCCGAAGGGTTTTCTCCTCGCTCTGCGCCTCAGGGCGCCCGCGGGGCTCCTCTCGCCTCGTCGCCGTCGCTCCAGCACGCGCCGCCGTCCCGCTCGGCTCGCTCCTCGGGAGGCGCGAGGGCCCCCACGGGGCCAGGCGACCCCCGCTCTGCCCACAAGCGAGGGACACCCGCGGATAGCGTAGCCCCGACTCCCTCCTCGGCCACCCCGTCCTTCCTCCCCCTTCCCTTCCTTCCTTTCCTTTCCTTTCCTCCCCCCCCCCTCCCCGTCGTCTCGCTTTCTGGATGTCGAGCGAGACCCTCCGCCGTGCGTGTCCCCGGAGAAGTTCCCTTCCCCTCTTCCCAAGCCTCCCGCGCCCCCCGACCGCTATTGCCGCCCCCTCCCGCGCTCTCCTCCACGCCGCCGCCGAGCAGGTGAGAGGCTGGTGCGTGGCCGGGTGAGGAGGGGAGGGTGAGTCGCCGCTCCTCTCGCCTCGCCCCTCCGCCTTCACGGGCGACGGTCCCCCCCTCCCCTCCCCCCCGCCGGGCATTAATTAAGCTGCCCATTGATTAAAGGGTATTGATTTGTATGTATTTCACTCAGCGCCGTTGGCGGCGGCGGCGGCGGCGGCGGCGCCCGCTGCTTGTTCGGCGGCCTCCGCCTGAGTTAGCCCAGTATTTCCCAATTTAGAGTGTTGTCGCCGAAGCTCCCTCGACCAAAGATGTCGGCTCCTCTTGGGCCCCGAGGCGGCCCTGCTCCCCCTCCGCCTCCGCCGCCTCCGCCCGAGATGCCCGACCTCAGCCACCTCACGGAGGAAGAGAGGAAGATCATCCAAGCCGTCATGGACCGCCAGAAGAAGGAAGAAGAGAAGGAGCAGTCCGTGCTGAAGTAAGCGCTACTTTCCTCTTCCCTCCCCCCATTCCCCCCACCCTCACCCCCCAAATTCTGGCGCCCCATCCCGGGAGGGGAAAGCTGCCCCGGCCCGCATCCCACGGACAGGGTCTGCTTTCGGGAGGGCTGCCAACCTAGCGGCGGGCATCGCGCGGCCAGGAAGGCCTTGGTGGGACCGCCCGGGAGCGGCGCAGAAGGCTGCTCGGCGCTGTCTTGGCTCCCGGCGGTGGCTGCCGCTGGCCCCGTCCACCCGAGCCGGAGGTGGGAAGGCAGAGAGCCGAGAGTTCCCTCCCTCCCCGCTTTTCAGGCTCCTATTCGCCGTCCAGGCGTGGAGCGGGGCCAGGCACCCAACATGGCCGCACAGGTGCTGTTGTCACTCGCTCCCTGCGAAGCGGATGGTCTCGGCAGCAGGAAGTGGCGGCGGCAGCATGGCGGGTCTAAGGGGGTCTCGCCCCAGCGAGGCTTACTTAGGCAGGCCAGTCTGGCGGCTGCTCCTTTCGCCGCCGCCGCCTCCTCGCCTGCCTCAGACTTACAGCTGGCCACGGGCATCACTGTACCTCCGAGGCCCAGGTCCTCTCTGCTGCCTGCCTTAGGGTGGGCTCGGAGAAGCCGCCATCTTCCCCCCAATAAATGTGTAGCCCTCCCACCTGCTTCTTGCTTCCCAGGAGGCGTACCTTGCCTCTGCACCTGTGGGTCCCGTTAGTCGTGGGCTAATAGCCGCTCAGAGAGCTCAGCTCCAGGCTCTTTCAGCACCAGGAGCTGTCCACGCAGGATTAGGAGACCAGCTTTCTGTCCTATTGCCTCGGTGCTTCTTCCTCGTTTATCTTCTTGCTCCCTTCCTCTCGCACAGTTCAGCACTGGTCTATTATATATCTATATCTATATCTATATCTATATCTATATCTATAAGTATATATATATGTGTATATATATATTGTGTGTGTGTTGTGGATAATGAAATTTTCTGTCTGACTAAATACTTTTGTGATAGACAATAAATGCACGGGGTTCATCCCTATACATTTGATCACATGAAGTGTTTTTTGCCTGTTAATATTTTCTTGGTAAGCATAGTTGCCTGTCTTTGCCTATATTCTTCAAAAACAGTGTTATCAAAGATGAAAAAAACCCCACTTTTTTTTTTTTTGTTTAACAGCATAGGGCCTTTTGAAAACGCTGTCCTACTAAAGGAGACCAGAATAAACATTTTTAAGTTTAAACATCTTTAACAATATTAAATCAGATCAATCAGTTGTGTTAAGCCATTTTTTTTTGTTGAACAACTGATTCAAATTTGGAACTGATAGCTCTTTGTGGGCTTAGTTGATGACGTGTTAGAATTAGTGTATTGTGAACAATACTATAGTTGACAAAAAATTACTCTGCTTAGATTATTTTTATCTTCAATTAAGAGAGAGGTAAACTGTATTGTTAAGTTTAAAAATACTAAAAATAAACTTGTTTGTCCATTAAAGGGAAGCCACTGCAACACACACAAGCACACACACAAAACATACCCATACCCATATATGCTAGTCCAACTCTAGCTAATAATTTACAGTAACTTCTAAAAGAACAATTTGTATTCTCTTATCAATGCTAAATGACTCCATAAAGATTAATAATGTAGTTTTGTTTTTAAATTATGTGACATTCTAAATGATTAATAACAACATTTACAAAAATATTTCTAATTATTCTAATGACTGTTTAACAATAGTCTTTGGGATTAAAGTTAATTTTGATTTAGAACATGTTGTTTCTACAGACAGCAAATACACCTATCTTTGGTTTTAAAAGTAAAATGATTTTATAATCAAATGATGTAGTTTCAAATTAATGCAGAATTGTTGACCAATGTTTTGTGAAAGGAAGGTTCAAATAGATATAAAAGTATTTAAGCAGAAATACATTTTACAACTCCATTGATAGTATTTAAATTTTGGATAGAGCTTATTATAGTAAGGCTTGTTCATTAACTGGACTCCACAAGTGTCAGTCCTTTTTTTGAATAGCTAACATATGCTATGCAATCACATAGCTAACACATGAAAAAGATCTTTCAGAAAGCCAAACTGACTGATCAGAACTTTTAACGTATTTTAAATAAAATATTGGAAGATTATTTAGAAGTACTTCATCTTTTAAAAATGAAGTAACTTACCAAATTTGAAAGATTGACAATTAGCAATGACTGATAAGAAAAAGAAGAAAAAAACCATGTGAGAAAGAGATATGAAGCTATTTGTTCCAAGAGTTGGTCTCATCCCTGCTATAACATCAACCTACCCCAACAAAAAGGAGATTAAAATTTTCAACTGTGCTTTTTGAATGACATCAGCATGTCATTGGATGACTTCATACAGTCCTTGAAAAGGTTGGAAGGCTGATTTGTGACTATAGACATCACAAATATTGCCCATTGTAGCCCTCAAAAGAATTAAGTTGTTCATACTTCCACCCAATGTGCTGTTTTGTATCTTTTCTGTTAATTCACAGAAATAGTTTCACATGATTTTCATATATATTCCTTGTGAGGGTAATGGAAATTCCTGACATTGTTTGCACATATTTTCGTTGTAAAACCACATACTACACATGTTGCACATATAATGCTGGTATACTAACACATGTTATGATCTCATTCAGACATATTGATTATTTGGACAATCTTCTAACCTGCTGGCACTATGAGTATTATGACATGGCTCTTTAAAAGCACAGATATTTCCTTTCTACCTCTTATTCTATTATTGCTTTTCAATATTATTTACAGATACATTTTCTGAATTAATTGCTAGTAGATTGGTATTTAAATTCTTCTAAATTGTTCTCTAACAATAATTGGCAAAAGTACTGCATTTCATTGCTTAAAGAAGATTTAATACTTTTTTTCTTTTTCTCATCAATAATTGCAAAAATAATGTTCAAGTTTTATTTTTCAAATCTAATAACTTGTTTCCTCTTAAAATATGAAGTAACTTCCAGATAATGTTTAAATCTTTATTAAAAATATGAAAAACAGTGGTTTAAAAAAGTGTAGCCATATTCTCTAATGAAATTAAAATATCTCTCCACCAAAGATTAATGTATAGAAGTAAGGGAGATGACCTTGACAAAAATATGTAACTGTCATTACCTAAGCAAAGGGAACTGAAACATTTTGTAAGCCCTGGGAAACAAAAATAATATTTGGAAGTGGCTCAAGTCAGCCGCATCCCTGATTCATTGGGGCATAAGTAGAGGTGGGGATAGGGAAGTACAACACAATGAAACTTGCAAAATTTTGTTATTTATAGTCATGCTGAATAATTGTAGATCTAGGCTTCCTGACTCATTGATTTCTTGGTCTGGTCTACCTAGTGGGGTTGACAGTTAATTTTCATATTCAACAAAGTAGTTGACATTGAAAGCATTCTTAACAAAAGTTTGTGTTTTAAAGAATAAATTATACAATGTTTTATATAAACGATGAATGGAAACCAGCTGGATAATTAAGTCTGCTTTTTTCTGTATACTTTCTGTTTTATTCAGATTTTCTAATGAGTATCACTATGGTACTGAAGTGTTTATCAGAAGAGCATTCAATAATGTCACTAGCATCTGTCACATCATTCCCCCCTTCTTTTCCCCCCTTTCCTAGAGCAAAATTATGCATATATAATTTATATGATTATATATATATATACCCACTGCAGTCAAAGATTCTTCTGCTATGCTTCTTTGAAGAAACAAAGAGAAATGGTGCAAAGTTAGAATCAGCAGGAGTTCATACTGATAAGGGCAATATTCACTCCTGCTGGGATTTGCTGAAAGTTGATGACATATAAAATAGCTGTTTTGCAGAGGTATCTGTTTTTGGCAAGTTGTGCTTTCTGAAGGCATTGGGTGAAGCCATGAAGTGTTCTTATTGACAGATTTTCTTGGGTTTGTACTGGGGAAATCTTGCTGTTGAGATTAGTTTTTTCTTTGAAGGTATGCTATGTGTTAAATATCTGACAAGTAAATATTACTTATTTATTAAATTTGTTTGCTGCCCATATCACCATAGATTTACTACTTTATCTTATGTACTTATATACTTCTATTACAACTTTATCTTATGTGACAGTTTCAATAGTTGTCTGTAGATTGATGGTCTTTAGTTTATTTGCCTCACTTTAATCTGTGTACTAAAATATTAGGCCTAAAATATAGATTTCTCATGCATAAATGAATGCCATTTTTCTCTATAAGATAGCTTATTCTCATATGATGTTAAACATGTGGCCAGTTGTATTACATTCATAATTTGAGGAATATAGAAGATTCTACCTTGACCAATAATATTTCTTATGTAGCGTTCTGACCAATAGGTCTCAATATGAATACAGTCAGAAAGGTGAAGAACAATCCTGAGCCACCCACAAGGTATAGAGGAATAGCTTTAGAACTCAAATGGCCAGTTCAAGGCCACATTAGTCTCCCAGTCTTGATTATGCAAGCTCCATAACAACCTCAGATCAGAACACCAAACAATAGCAAGAAAATGGCAGTTTGGGGCTTGGTTCTCTATCTGAGGCAAATGTGTCACTTTCCACCATTCAAATCCTACCAACTGAAAACAACCTGAAACTTTTTAGTCTGCCCATCCAGTGAAATTACTCCATCGAATTTATTAAAACAGTTTTGAGCATTGGATTGTACTGAGCTACAAGATGAGTTCACAAGACATGATAAGCCATTTCCCAAGATAGTTATAGATATAAGATAGTTTGGGCCTTAACTGTATGAACCTAGATATTGTGATTTAATCAATAAATATATTTATTTATGTGATTTATATAGTGCTTCTCACACACAAATGACTCAGGGTGGTTTACAGGGATTAAAAACACACAAATTCACAATGTATAATCCACAGCACTCAAGATTAAACAATAACCTGACTCACGGACACACATGCACTAAAAGTTTCAGGTTATTTTCAGTTTGTCTGAATGGTGGTAAGTTCAACA